ATTTGCGCATGGAATGCTGCCCTCCCTCCCTCACCTCTTCAGGACTTCTAGAGTCCCGGGTTGGGGAGGCTTTCTCCCTTATAGCCTCAACCTCTTTGGGAAGCTCCCATCTCCAGCACTGTGCAGCGTGGAGGGGATGATCTAGCTGCGGACCCAGCTCCTTCACTGGGGGCCTCTCAGACACACAGGCTGTCTTACTGCCTGCTGGCTTCCCAGGCCTGAGCATGTTGCTCGCAGGGAGCAGCTCACCAGTGAACACTGGGGAATGCCCCTGCCAGCGCCCACTTTCCTCTTCAGTGACTCAGGTTTGGAGGTCGCAGGAGATTGTAGCTGGTCTCCCTACCCCCAGTTCTCAGCACCCCATCCAGCCAGGTCGTGGCCATTAGAGCTACCTAAATTACCTCTTGGAAGCACTTTTGTGCTCAAAAATTTTCAGAATGAAATTCCAGTCCCTTAGCCTGACTTACAACCTTCCAAAATCTATCCCCAAATCAACATTGCCTTCTTCAACCACTACAGACTACAATTCTGACAGGTACCCATCGAACTTTTGCCAAATGACTGAAGAATACGTGAATGAATGCCTTCTGTATAGTGGAGATATTTTGCAAATGGAGTCCATTGCCAGAGGACCCTGGAGGTGGGGTCCTATAGAAGTCTGTTAATATGGGAGCAAGGGGTTTGGGGGAGATCTCCTCCAAGCTCAGTAAGCTGGACCCAGGGACAAAGCCTCACCCAGGGGGAGAGATTTTAAGTGCAAAATCAGGGCTGTCTCTCATGTCTGCTCAATCTGGCCTGTAGGCACATATTTTTCATGGTTCCAAGGTGAGAGAGGGCTGTAAGTAGGAGCTGAAGAGCTCTTTCCTTACGAAGCTCTAAATGTTGGGTGCAGAAGCTAGCTTCTTGGGACCTCCGCATGGACTGGCTCAGGCTCCTCCAGGGCCCCAGGCTCGGCAGCTGGGCCGGGTCAGACAAGGCAGTGGCAGGCCCACAGCACAGGTCCCAGGAGCCCACTGAGTGATGAACCCGTGTAAGACAGTTCACTGATGGAGACAGGAGGTTCTGCATTAGGCAGGGTAAGAATGTGCAGTCTGATTTCTGACAGTCTTTCTGGCAGGAGAGGCCTGGGGGATCTTGGCAAAATAAACTTGAGGGTGTCAATTAGAGGCTGAGCCTCTGGGCGTCCCCTACTACTCTCTCTCCCTTCATAGGTTCATTGCTATGGCCCAGGTCAAAGGCTTGCTCCTTCGGGGTGCCTTCCCTGAACTCCCTAGTTGGAAGTAGCCCTGCTCCTCTCCCCTGCAATTCTACGCCTGCATCCTGGAGCAGTGGTGGAGCACTTGGGCCACATGGTCTTGTGGCTGGATGTTCATTTCCCTACATGGCTCTGTAAGCATAATCCTTCTTCCCATCCTCCTGAACATGTGGTGCCCTGGGCAGAGCCAGGAACTTAAAGATATATATATTTTTAAGATTTATTTATTTGACAGAGAGAGCACAAGCAGGGGAAGCAGCAGAGGGAGAGGGAGAAGCAGGCTCTCTGCTGAACAGGGAGCCCGATGTGGGGCTTGATCCCAGGACCCCGGGATCATGACCTGAGCCGAAGGCAGACGCTTAACCGACTGAGCTACCCAGGCACCCCAAAGATATTTCTTGACTGAATGGTAGTTCAGTGATTTTTAATGGTCTTCAAGAGTTCTGCACTGTACATAAAAGGATACAATTAAAGTGAAAAGGCCATCTATAGAATGGAAGAAAATATTGCTAATTATTACCTGATAAGGGTTAAGATTCAGAATAAAGAACTCCTACAACTCAGCAATTAAAAACAAAAACCAAAAAGCAACCGAATTGAAAAAAATGGGCAAAGGATTTGAATAGACATTTCTCCAAAGAAGACATACAAATGTCCAAAAAGCACAGGAAAAGATGCTCAACGTCACTAATCATTAGGGGAGTGCACATTAAAACCACCATGAGATGTCACTTCACACCCAGTGGAATGACTACTATAAAAAAAACCAGAAACACCAAAATAAGTATTGGTGAGAATGAGAAGAAATTGGAACCCTTGTGCTCTGTTGGAATGAAAAATGGTGCAGCTGCTAATGGAAAGCGGTATGGCAGTTCCTTGAAAATTAAAAATAGAACCACCCCATGATCCAGCATTCCCACTTCTTGTTATATATCCAAAAGAACTGAAAGTAGAGTCTCAAAAGGTATTTGTACGCCCATGTTCATACAGCACTATTCACAATAGCCAAGTGTCCATCAGTGGATGAATGGATACATAAAATGTGGTGTATATACACAATGGAATATTCCATCTTAAAAAGGGAGGAAATTCTGACACATGTACAACATGGGTGAGTCTTGAGGACATGCTAAGTGAAATAAGCCAGTCACAAAAAGACAAATACTGTATGATTCCACGAATATAGCCAGATTTATAGAGACAGAAAATAGAATGGTGGTTGCCGGGTGGGGTGGGGAGTTGTTTTGTGGACAAAAACAGTTTCAGTTTTGCAAGGCAGGAAGTTCCAGTTTTGCAAGAGGGGAAGAGTTCTGGAGATTGGTTGCACACAATGTGAATATACTTAACACTACTGAACTGTACACTTAAAAACGGCTAAGTCGGGGGTGCCTGGGTGGCTCCGAGGGTTAAGCGTCTGCCTTCGGCTCAGGTCATGATCCCAGGCTTCTGGGGTCGAGCCCCATGTCAGGCTCCCAGCTGGGCGGGGAGTCTGCTTCTCCCTCTCCCTCTGCCTCTCTCCCTGCTTGTGATCTCTCTGTCTCTCTCTCTCTGATAAAATCTTAAAAAAATGGCTAAATCAGCAAATTTTATGTATATTTTACCACGATTAAAAATTAAAAATTAAAAAAAAAAAGATCTGCACTGAGTTGGCCCATTCAGATAATTCACTGGACAAGCTTGTCCCAAAGCAGCACCCTGGTGGAGCTGGGATTTGTTACTTGGCCACAGAACATCTTGAGGAGAGGTAGGTGCTCCATACATTCCTAGGGAAATAAGGAAGGCTCTCACTCCTCAGCGTGTAGTTCAAAGACCTGAGTAACAGCATCACCCAGGCTCGATGGAAACACAGAACCTCAGGCCCCAACCCAAACTTATTGGAATCTGTATTTTAATAGGCTTCCAGGCGATTCCTGCAAGTTAATGCCTGAAAAGCCTCACCTGGAGATCATCCCTGGGAAGAAGAGCACTGAAGGAGGGGGGAGTGGCATACACACTGGACAGTCTCTGAGGACCAACTCTCAGCCCTCTCCCAACTTAGACATGGGGAAACTGAAGCCCTGGGGACCACAGAGGCTTGTACCAGAGAGGCTGCTGGACACATTTAACTGGTTGGGCTCTGGAAGTTGATTTCACAGGAGCTGACTTGTCCACCTAGCTGTGTGCTCTTGAGGGAGTTACTCTACATCTCTGACTTAGCTTCTTTGCCTGTGAGAGCCACCCCATAGATCTGCTTATTTAACTGTGGAAGAATGAGTACAGGTAACGGTGAACAGGTGCCCAGGGCATACCTGCTCAGTGATGCCAAAGAGCAAATTCAGGCATTCATTCACGAATACATTCATTCCTTACAGAACAAGTATGAACGCTTGTCCAGTAAGGACCTGGAGATCTGGCAGTGAGGAGGATGAGCCGGACCTGTCTGCAGGCAGGGACCACCTGAGCATGGGGGCACCCAGGGAACTGGCTCTTACAGCTGCAGCCCCAGGATGGGGAACCTCTGGCCAGAGCCATTATAGACACCCCCCCTGCGCCCCACCCCACTGCAATCTGGTATTGGGGGGCGGGCTGGGCCAGGAGGGGCAACACTGCCTGGCCCTCTGGTGGCTCTCAAGCTGGGCCAAGCTGCAGCCCTCGGGATGCTTTTTATACAGGCAGAGTCTGGACCCAGGGATCCGCCTGGACATCATCATGCATCCCAAGGGCCTGAGGCACCTGCACTGGGCTACAGCGGGCTTGGCTGCGGTGCAGGGGGTGAGCTTGTGGGACGGGCGCCCTTCCCACCTCCTCCCACCACGGTATGCTTCGAAAGCCAGTGGTCCACCCCCCCATGGGTCGGTCGCCCCACTGGGCCCACATCTGAGGCACTTCACCTGGCTCCCGGCACTTTGTCCCCCTCCACAGCAGGTTCTACACTAGGCCCCCTAACTTGGTTCCACACCAGGCCCCTCGCCTGGGCCTCCATTACCTGGTCATCTTTCACTCCATCCTCCGAAGCGGGCCCTGCCCCTGGGATCGCAGCTGAGTTCTCCCTGCCTCGTACCCCGCGTTGTGCACCTGCCCACTCGCTCCCGCACCCGGTCCGCACTTCCGACACCCGGCCTTGGCCTGCCGCTCAGTACTGAGGCACTGGTGCCCCGGGACACAGCCGCTCTGACTCCGGCACCCAGGTTGCAGGCCCAAGGCGCAGGAGTCGCATCAGAGCTACCGTTTCGACGGTGCGCAGCCACGGAGACCGTTTTAACCAACCTCATGGATCCCCAGTCTTTTTCCTTTTCCACACTTTGCTCAGCCACATTTTCAGACACGCGGAGCACACATCCCAGTGGGGAGCAGCAAGAAGTCTCCCGGCCAAGGCCACGCCCACAAGGGTCCCGCCGCCGAGAGTGAGGGTCCCGGGTGCTGTGCGGGGCTTGGGGACAGGGAGAGCCGGGCCGGGAGGATCGCCAGGTTTCAGGATGCCTCGCAGGAAAAAGCAGGGCGTTACTTCTGCCACCAGCCTCTTCGTGGGACCATGGATAAACGAGAGCTTCGTGTTCCACGGGTCTTTGGCGGCACCTCAGTGGGCTCCACTGGGAAGTTTAAAGAGATCACGAAAACGGGCATTTCCTCGCCCCGCCCCTAGGAAAAGGGCCGCAAAGAACTGAAACTCCGTGAGTCAGCGCGGCTGGCAAGCGGGGCTGCCTGGAGAGGCGCCGCCCTCGGCCGCGGACCAGGTGCCCTTGGAGGACCGGGAGGTGCGGCGGGGGCGGAGTCGCCGCCAGCCCGCCTCGGCATTTCCCCCCGGCCCGGCGGCCTGGACGGCGCGGCGGGCGGCCCTGGGTCATGGCCGGCGAGGCGGCGCCCCGGGGTGCCGAGCTGCTGGGCTTCGCGCGGTTCCGGGAGTCGAGCAAGCAGCCGCTAGCCTACGGCTATGGCCCGCGCAGCTTGCGGGAGCTGCGCCAGCGGGAATTCAGCCGCCTGGCAGGTGAGGCCGGCCGGGCCACCTGTGTGGGGTGGGCAGGGAGGACGTGGCGGGCGCGCTTGTGTTCTGGAACTGACGTGGAAGGAGCTGTGGCGCTAGGTGGGAGCAGCTCACCTTATTTGGGATACATTTTGGCTCAAAGACCTGGACGGACGTGTCCATGCGTCCGCTTCGTGGACCCAGCTCCCTGAGGTCGCACCTGCAGCCCAAGATTTCTTGCTCCTCTAGCTTCTTAGACTTTACCGTAGGGCAGGTCCAACCTACTCTCTACTCACCTGTCCTCGCCTTCCGCGGGTCTGGCTTAGGGATTCCTTTTGCTCTCGGTTGCCACGAGACCCCCGGCTTAAAGGTCCGACTGGAGCCAGGGTTGCAGAATGCAGGAATATCCGGCGCTCCTGACTGTTCAGGTGCTCGCCTGCGGACGGGTGCAGTGCGTGGGTGGCCCGTGCGCCGGGTTGGGACCGCGCCTCGGGGAGCGCGCGCGGCTGGGACCGAGAGGTACAGCCGCTGGAGGCTGAGCTCGCAGCATCTTTTATTTTCGAAGCCTCATTTTTCTCCCTCGTGCAGTCAGAACAATGCCTCCGAACTCTAGCTCGCTGGGGGCACTCGCATTAGCAAACCGTGCAGTGTGAGCTTTAAGTACAGGACGAGCCTGTAAATTGGACACGAGCACCGAGATCACAACGTCCCTTTGATTTCCGCAAGGCAGAACAGGCTGGTTAATTTTAAAACGAAGGGCGCCTGGGTGGCTCAGTCGGTAAGCGCCTACCTTCGGCTCAGGTCATGATCTCAGGGTCATGGGATGGAGTCCCGCTTCGGGCTCCCTGCGGAGAGCCTGCCTCTCCCTCTGCCTGACGCTCCCCTTGCTTCTTCTGTCTCTCTCTCTGTGTGTGTGTCAAATAAAATAAAATCTTTAAAAAATAAATTTTAAATCGAGCTCCACCTGGCCCCGTGGACTTGCCCAGCCATTGCTGCAGGGCAGGAGGGCTCCCACACCGGTGGGGTCTCACTCTTTTGCCAGGGACCTCGTGTGAGGGTCTACTGGAGCCTCAGAACGGCCTGCGGGTGGAGCAGGGAGGGACGGAAGGTAAGTGGGCATGGTCGTGGCACCAGGCACTGGGATTTGAGGGGTACTTACTGTGTCGGCGATGAACAACTGTGACTGCTCCCCAGCTTGTGGCAGAACAGCAATAGCGATCTCACAGTTCATTAATCAGGTAGCTGATTTCAGCTCTTCTGGGTCATTCCCTCGTGTTTGGGGTAGTGACCGTTTTGTCCCTTTGGGGGCTCTCAGGGCTGTGGCCTCCACTCTGTGTGTCTCCTGTCTGTACTTCAGTAGGGAATCTCAGGAGGGAGGCAGGGGACCCTCTGGGGGCCTCTCTGCGACCTCCCCATTCTTCCCAGTGGCACATTCACGTGGAGGAGCACCTCACCCCTCCGGTTCCACCCGCCCTCCCTGACAGTTTGTATTTCGGAAATCTCCACCCGAGAAGTAGGCTGGTACAATGAACACCCACAGGTGTGGAAGGAGGGAAGGAGGCTCCCCATTCTTTTGAAGCAAATCTCAGAGGCTGTTAGTGTGCAGTCCGTAATTATTTCTGCACCACACCTGCTTAATCCCATAATCCCTCCAGCTCTGGTCCCTCACACCCATCACTGGCTGACCTCTCCCCTCAACACTCCCCTGGGAAAGTAGAGGTATGTTCTGGGCCCCTCCTTGTTTCAATGTGTCCCTCAGAGAGCAGCACCTTTTCCCTTGAATGGAAAATTTAAATGTGATAGCCAGGATCTGAGGCTGACCTTCAGAGCCCCTTTAACATCTACTGTATTGTATTCTGTCTGTCTGTCTCTCTATCTAGTGCAAGTTCCCAGCATTTCCTCTACGTTAAGACTTCAAGTAGACTTTTTGTGGATTAAATCCACCCATCCCACAGCTGGGAATCTTGGAACATATCCACTTTCTTTTTCTCTCATGGGGCAGGGAAAAACAAACAAAACCAAATAACATACCTTTCACCTCCTCTTCCTTTCTCCTTCCTCCTTCCCCTCATAGTTTTTGTGCAGGTTTGAGAGTTTATCTGGTTAACGGGTAGCTCTAGATAATTACATGCTTAATCTTCAAATGCTGAAATATTTTGCCCAACCAATGGGATGGGAATTCCCTTGTCTGGGTGAAGGGAGCCTATTGAATTTTCAGATGTGGTTCAAATGGTTCTTGAAGTCTCAGGGTGCCAGTGGATGGCCACTCACCCTGTGTGGAACTGAGAACTGAAGAAGCATGATCTAGAAGAGACCCTGGAATTTCCTTCTTGAAGACCCAATGCCAGTGGGTTTGGGGGTCATTTGCCTGATTCTTCTAATAATAGCCAAATCTCATGAAGCATTACTGTGTGCCAAGCACTAAACTGGGCTCTGTTTACCAACTCTTTTAACTCCCATCCCATCTGCAGATGAATGAACAGGGACCCAGAATGGCTAGTGGTAGAGCAGGATTCAATCAAGTTGGTTGACCGGGGTTCCGCACTGTTAACCACGACGCTAGCTGACTCCTTCCAAGATCACATCTCTAGCTAATCTAACATGGCTGCCTCGTTTTGCAAAATTCCTGGACCAAAGGCCAAAGCAGTCTTCTCCCAAAAGCCTTCCTGGTCCTGCAGAAGACCATGGCCACGGCATGTGGTGTTCCCCGGGGACCCCTCAGGTTTCACACGTGCACCGTGTCTTCACATAAGCATCTCCCTGATGCCCAGTGGGGGACAAAAGCCTTTCTTTTAGCATAGTGCATTTGTATTTCCGAATCTTCAGTTAAAGAGAACATTATTTTAAAACTAACTTTTTGGATTAGGTAGTACATTTACACAGCACTCAAAAGGTGCCAAGAGAGGGTAAAGAATGGCCAGGGAGACCCCTCTTACTCCAGCCACAGCCATGGTGGCTGCCCCCGAGTCAGCTCCTGCCCCTTGGGTCCTGTATGCCTTTTGAGTTGTTGTCTGTATTTATATGAGTGTGTACAGTTTTTTTTTATTACACAGTTGAGCCATAACATCTGTTACCTGACATAGTTTACATTTATTTGTTTATGGTCTTTCTCTGTCACTCTCATACTAGCTTCTCTCTCTCTTTTTTTTTTTTAAGATTTTATTTATTTATTTGGGAGACAGAGAATGAGAGATAGAGAGCACGAGAGGGAAGAGGGTCAGAGGGAGAAGCAGACTCCCTGCTGAGCAGGGAGCCCGATGTGGGACTCGATCCCGGGACTCCAGGATCATGACCTGAGCCAAAGGCAGTCACTTAACCAACTGAGCCACCCAGGCGCCCCTAGCTTCTCTTTTGTCTACTCTTATGTCTCTGCTACTTAGAATAGTGCCGGGCACACAGTAAGTACTCAATAAACATTTCTCTAATGTAAAAATACAAGAAGCTAGGAAATAAAAGGAAACTTAATTGACCTGGTAAAGGCTATCTACAAAAAACCCTGCAGCTAATATCACACTTACTGGTGAAAGACTGACAGCTTTGCCTGTAAGATCAGGAAGAAGACAGGATATCTGGTCTCACCACTTCCATTCAGCATTGCACTAGAGGTTCTAACCAGGACAATTAGGCAAGAAAATGAAATAAAATTTGCCCAGATTGGAAAGGAAGAAGTGAACCATCTCTATTTGTGGATAACACGATCTTATATATAGAAAATCCTTAAAGAATCCACATATAAAACTGGTAGAACTAAAAAACAAGTTCAGCAAGGTTACAGGATACAAGCTCAATATACAAACATCATCCTGATTTCTATACACCAGTAAGAAAAGCTATGCAGATGAAATACAGGAAAGCATCAGAAAGAATAAAATACATAGGAATAAATTTATCAAAAGAGGTACGAGACTTAAACAGTGAAAACTACAAAATGTCATTGAAAGACATAAAGGAAGACCTAAATCAATAGAAAGACATCCTGTTTTCGTGAATTTGAAGGCTAAACATTGCGAAGATGGCAATACCCCCCAAACTGACCTACAGATTGAATGTCATTACAATCAAAATCCCAGGTACCTTTTTGCAACAATTGACAAATTGATCCTAAAATTCATACAGAAATGGAAGGGACCCAGAATAGCCAAAGCAACCTTGGAAAAGAAGAAAGTTGAAGGACTCAATTTCCCATAAAAGTAAAGTAAGTAAAATTTATATAAAGTAACAGTAATCAGGGGCCCCTGGGTGGCTCAGTTGGTTAAACCACTGCCTTCAGCTCAGGTCATGATTCCAGAGTCTTGGGATTGAACCCTGCATCAGGCTCCCTGCTCATGCAGGAAGCCTGCTTCTCCCTCTGCCGGCCACTCCCCCTGCTTGTGCTCTTTCTCTCTCTCTCTCTCTCTCTCTCTCTCTCGCCCTCTCTCTGTGTCAAATAAATGAATAAAACCTAAAAACAAACAAACAAGGTAACAGTAATCCAGACAGCATTGTATTGGTATGAGAACAGATTCATAGAACAATGGAGTAAAATTGTAAATCTAGAAATAAACACCTATGTCTATGGTCAATTGCTTTTTAACAGAATGCCAAGACTATTCAATAGAGGAAAGAATAGTCTCCAACAAACAGTGTTGGGGCAGCTGGTATCCACACGCAAAAGAATGAAACTGGACCCCTACCTCACACTGTACTCAAAAATTAACTTAAAATGGGTCAAAGTCCTAAATATAAGAGCTAAAAATATAAAAGTCTTAGAAGAAAGCATAAACAATAATCACCAAGACCTTTGATTAGGCAATGGTTTCTTATGACACTAAAGTTACAAGCATTAGTAACAATAGAAATAGACAAATTGGACTTGATCAAAATTAAAAACTTTTATGCTTCAATGGACACCACCAAGAAAGGACAATCTGCCGAATGGAAGAAAACAGATGTCCCCACAAAAACTTGCACATAAATAGTCATGGCAGCATCACTTATAATAGACAAAAAATGGAAACAACCCACATGTTTATCATTGGATGAATGGGTAAACAAAATGTGGTGCAGCCACACAATGGAATGCTATTCAGTCATAAAAAGGAATGACATGAAAATATGGATGCACCTGAAAAATATTATGCTAAGTGAAAGAAGTCAGACACAAAAGGCCATGTAGTATATGCCCAGAATTGGCAAATCTGTAGGGAGAGAAAGTAGGTTAGTGGTTGCCAGGGCCTGGGGCTGGATGATTGGGGAGTGACTGGTGATGGGTATGGGCTCTCTTTTTGGGATGAATGAAAATGTTGTAAAATTAGATAGTGGTGATGGTTGCACAGTTTTGTGAATCTGCTAAAAATACCACTAAAAGGGTGAATTTTATGATATGAGAATTATATCTCAAAAAGCTGTTAAAAAAGAAACAAAAAAATCCATTCTGCACAAAACAAACAAACAAAATTTTAAGTGAATGAAAGAAGGAACCAATCTATTCACATTGTATGTTCTCAAAACTGTATCTCAGAGTTTGCTCCATGCCAGTACTTATAAAATACTAGGTGTAGGTACAGGAATTCTTTATTTTAAACACATGTTCATGGATATTTAAGTCATTTCCAATCTGCTACTATTGCAGACAATGTTGCACTAAATGTCCTCACATGCAGGCCATTTCACAAACCATGAGTATTTATAAATGAATTCCTGGAAGAGGGATTGTTAGGTCAAAGAGGGTTTGCATTTTATTTTATTTTATTTTTTAAAGATTTATTTATTTATTTGAGAGAGAGAGAGAGAACATGGGGGAGGAACAGTGGAAGAGGGGAGAGAGAATCTTAAGCAGACTCCCTGCTGATTTTGGAGCCCAATGTCGGGCTCGATCCCACGACCCCGAGCTCATGACCTGAGCCAAAACCAAGAGTCGGATGTTTAACCAACTGTGCCACCCATGTGCCCTGCGGGTTTGCTTTTTAAAGTGTTACCAATATTGCTAAATTGCTGTCCATACAAAAGTTGTATCACTGTAGCCTCCTACCAGCCATGTACCAGTGGGCCTGTTTTCCAGCACCCTCACCTACCGGTGAGTTACCCAACCTTCTGGTCTCCACCGTCTGATGGGAAAACCTCGGTATCTCGTTCTCATCTAAATTTGCCTGTCTCTGTTGATGAGAGAGGCTAGAAAGATCATTTACGATCCTAGTACTGTCCAAAGCTCTTGGAGCTGTCCTAGGGTTGAGTGGTCTAGAATTCACTATGGGAAGGCAGAATCAGGGCTCGGCTGCCAGGGAAGCAGCAAGGAAATCCCAGGGAGGAAGTGAGTCATAATGTGAAATTGCTTTACTGTCGTGAATCACAAATGTCTGTTGGGCTCCTCCTCTGTGTGGGATGTTGTTCCAGGATCACAAAAGAGCTGGCTAATCAGGAAGGCTTGCTCGGGCTCTAAAGGTCATTCAAGATGGAAAGTGCAACCTTTCATTGCTCATGCCTCCACTTGGATTGAGGAGCTCCTATCAAGAGGCTGGGAGAAGTCAGTAGCCTGGTGGTGCCCCCTGCTCAAGCTCTAGGTGAAATGAGTGGAACACGTCTGAAAAATAACCACAGCTTTATTCTGTGTTTTCTTTCAGGAACTGTCTACCTTGACCATGCAGGAGCCACACTGTTCCCCCAGAGTCAGCTCACGAGGTTCACTAATGATCTCATGGAAAATGTTTATGGTAAAGAACAACACACCAAAACTGATTTTTGCACTTGATAGGAGCCAACTACATTCAGCTGACATATCTCTGCTTACTAAATGTCAGATAAATAGACCAGGACTGTGCTGAGCACACAGAGCTGAATGGGCCCCATGGGAAAAGGGGTTCAGCAAGCCCTCGGGTCAGTCCCTGTAACACATGCGCTGCCAGGATAGGAAAAATGAGCTCAGGGACACACAGTTTACTTCCAGAAGGAGGGGTCAGTGTCAGAAGGGCACAGAGGTACAAAGGTGCTGTGTTTACGGGATGACCCTGTGGGATAGTACAGGGCGGAGGGTAGGGTGGTGGGAAGGACATTCATGCATTCTTTTTTTTTTTTTAAGATTTATTTATTTATTTGAGAGAGCGCATAAGCAGGGGGGAGGGGCAAAGGGAGAGGGAGAGAGAGAACCTCAAGCAGACTCCGCACTGAGTGCAGAGCCCGATGTGGGGCCAGATCTCAGGACCCTGAGAGATCAGGACCTGAGCCGAAACCAAGAGTCAGACGCTTAACCAGCTGCGCCACCCAGGCGCCCCCATTCTTCTACTCCAAAAATGTCTGTTGAGCCGCTTTGCCATGGGGAGCACGGTGCTATCTTGAAAACAGAGGAAGCACAGTCCCTGCCTTCATGGGCTGTGATCTAGTCAACACAGGACTTTAATCAAGTGAGCTCCCAATAAATGTAAATGACCAGCCCTGTGAAGGGCTGTGAACCAAAGGCAGGTGTGGCTGCAGAGCCGAGCCACAGCACTGGCAGTGTGAGTGTCAGAAAAAGCTGCCTTAAGAGTGGGGTGAGTCCTGGAGGATGAGCAGGGAGTCACATGGGAAAGAGGAGGAGAAGGGCATTCCAGACAGAGGTGCTAGCATGAACCAAGACCCTTAGTGGTTCCAGGAATTAGCCCCGGAGCACAGAGAAGGGGCAGAGAGTGGAGGAGGTCTGAGTGGAGAGGTAGGGAGGGGCAATGTACGTGCCCTGTGGAGTTCGATGTTTATTCTAGAAAGCATGGGCAGTCACAGCAGCATTGATGAGGAGGTAAGCCTGGAAAGGGAGCCTGAATTAAAGGCAGTGGTAGCAGATGCAGCAGGGGTGGGAGCAGTGAGTGCCCTGGTGTCCTGAACACTCACTTCAGGGACTGCCCCAGATGCTTGAGCTCCACCCTCCCCCTCCGTTCTCCCCACAAACTAGGGTACAGGTGCTGCTATCACACAAGCTAAGGTATAGGTTCTGTCCTGTTTTACAGGTGAGGAAATTGGGCCCCAGACAGAGTAGGTGGCTAACCCATGGCCACGCACTCAGGAAGCGCCCAAGCTGGGGGAGCTGGATCTCCAGGCATTGGGCTCCAGAGCACCAGCCCTCACCCCAGGCCCCCTCAGTTCATGACAATTTTGTCATGCCACACTAAGATCCTGGGCAGCCAGCAGATCTTTAAATCTGGGGAATAGTTTCTAGGGGAAATGCCAGCGAGGGACTTTATTTTGATCTTAATCCGTCATTTGCAAAGAGATCCACAAGTCTTGAACCTTTGCAAGAGTCATAACTGTCGGAACTTTGAGAGGTGACAGCATCTAGACTGTAGGTGGTGCTAATGTTGTGGAGCTAAAAAACCAGGGAATTGAGAGACAGTAAGGGTAAGTACCAAGTCCCACTGGTTACTAGTGCATATGGAAAAGGAACATTGGTAGCTTCAGTGTCCAGAAATCCAGTGTGACCAGATGGCATGGTATGAGAAAAGAAACGAACAAACCCTAAAACAAAAAAGGCCAAGACTGCATTAACGCGCACCTGTGGTCCTGCTCCCGAGAAATACTTGTGCCTGATCCCTGCACGTCTCGCCCCTCGAGAGGTCTGTGTCCTCATCTGGGGGCCGTGTTTTGAGGGAGGTAATGATACTATGGGACACACTCAGGGGGGATCCAAGGAGGGGAGGAAAACTAGAAAGTGAAATTAGGAGAGACGTTAGCCTTGAGAACGGGCTAAAGAGAGATGTGATGGCCCCCTTCACATATTTGGAGGAATTAGATGTGTTTCTGCAGGAATGATGCCAGTTGCAGGGATGTGAACACAGGGCAACAGATGGGGATTTAGATTAAGTGGTGCTCATGGCTCTGTCTTATGGTTGGGGGAGAGGGCAGCCTCCTGAGGTTGTGTACTTGGTTTCCTGGAATTACCAGAATCCCCTGTCAGGGAACTTGCAGAAAAGGTTGGCCCAGTTGCCTGTGAGTTGACCTACAGCTCCAGAATGTTCTTCCTGGATCCCACCTCGTTCTACGGGGATTGGTTTATTTTTTTAAAAAATTGTTTAGAAAAATTGAGTTATATTTTACAAATCATAAAATTCATCTATTTCAAATGTACAATTTAGTGATTTTGGTAACTTTACCAGGTGGTGCTACTGTCATTATAAATCATTTAGAACATTTTTCATTCCCCCAATAAGATCTCTGAAGCCTATTTATAGTTAATCCCTGTTGCCCCCTCAGTCCCAGGCGACCACTAATCCACTACTTTCTGAATCCCTTTCTATACCATTGTCTTTACTGGACATTTCATATAAATGGGATCATACAATATGTGACATCTTAGCATGTTTTTGCGGGTCATTCATGACGTAGCCCGTAGATTGTTCCTTTCTGTTGTGAATATTTTCCCATTGTGTGGGTATATGGCAACTTGTCTCTCTGTTCATCAGCTGATGGATATTCATGTTGTTCCCAGAATTTGGCTTTACCAAAAAACCTGCCTATGAACACTTCTGTGCATGAATCTTTGTGCAGACGTGTGTTTTCATTTCCCTTTAGTATATAGGAGTGGTATTGCTGGGTCATATAGTAGTTGTATGCTTAACTTTTTGAGAAACTGGAGGAGAGGGTTTTAGAGGAACACAAGAGGAGAAACAGAAGTCGTGACTTGATGGCTTTGTCTCTGTAACCTGCCAGGTAATCCTCACAGCCAGAATATCAGCAGCAGGCTCACCCACGATACCGTGGAGCATGTGCGCTACAGGTGAGTGGCAGAGGTACCAGCCTGTGTGGGTACTCCCAGGTGGATGGACTTCTTTCCTACCACCCACCGCATCCCACAAAGCTTCCGAGTTGGTTTGAGGATGATCACATTCAGCTAAAGGGTCACGTGCCCTGACAAACATCAGGGCCAGAGGGCAGGAAGGTGAGCATGATTAGGTAGGGAGTGGGGCAGCCCCGAAGCACAGGCGGGTGGCCCTGAGGCGTGCACAGCTGTTGTATGGGGCTTGGGGCTGACGCCAGAGTGCCTGAGGGCCAGAGTGACCAGGAGGGACCCAGTTTCCTAAGTCTCATTTTCAGAGAGAGGAAAAACGTTTCCTTTGGGCTTTCTTTTCATGTTTCATTAGGCACCGTTCATCCTCCCTCCCCAACCTTTTTACTAATATGTGCACTTGAAACAGCTCTTTATATTTTTCCACATGTAATAATTGTTTTTTAGTAATTTCCAAGTGGTGCCTAAAGTTACTTGAGTTGGTATAATTTCAAGTTATTTCCAATTTGCAAGGGATGCTGGTCTGCCAATATTAAAGGCACCATGAAACAAGTTGGTGACTTAAACCTCGCTGTGATAGAGCCAGAGAGCAGACCAAGGAGAGAGTGTTTTGTAGGATTAAGAAAGGTTGTCGTGGATTTTTACCTTTTTTTTAAAAGATTTATTTATTTTTATTTATTTGAGAAAGAGAGAGACAGAGTGCGAGAGAACCGGGGGGGGGGGGGGGGGGGAAGAGGAAGAGAGAGAATCCCAAGCAGACTCCCCGCTGAGCACGGAGCCCTGACGCTGGGCTCGATCTCACGACACTGAGATCATGAGCTGAGCAGAAATCAAGAGTCAGAGGCTCGGAGGCTCGACCGACTGCACCACCCAGGTGCCCTGTGGATTTTTATCTTCTCTATCGAGGGTGGGGACGTGGGAGGTGAAGCTGCTTTTGCCAGTTGGAACCTGTTTGTCATTTCCGTGTGCACTTGCTCTGCCCCTGCCCTCACTTGGCCATTGTGGTGAAGCTGATCTGGGTTTTTTCCTAAATATGAAGGCAGAGAGAGGCCCTATGTAGTAGAGATACAGCTGCCTCCGAACATGTGAACCCAGGGAGACCACGGAATTGGCATGACACTGTGCTTCTTCCAGGATTCTGGCGCACTTCCACACCTCCCCGGAGGACTACAGCGTGATTTTCACGGCAGGGAGCACGGCTGCTCTTAAACTGGTGGCAGAGGCCTTCCCGTGGGTGTCCCCGGGCCCGGAGAGCAGTGGGAGCCACTTCTGTTACCTCACCGACAGCCACACCTCCGTGGTGGGCATGAGGAAGGTCACCATGGCCATGAACGTCACCTCCGTCCCGGTCAGGCCAGAGGACATGTGGTCAGCGGAGACACAGGGTACAGCCGCCCGTGACCCCGATGGCCAGCTTCCGCATCTGTTTTGTTACCCTGCGCAGAGTAACTTTTCCGGAACCAGATACCCCCTGTCCTGGATAGGAGAGGTCAAGGCCGGGCGGAGGTGCCCTGTAAACGTGCCTGGGAAGTGGTTCGTGCTGCTTGATGCAGCCTCCTACGTGAGCACCTCCCCTTTGGACCTGTCGGTTCACCAGGCCGACTTTGTCCCCCTCTCCTTCTATAAGATCTTTGGATTCCCCACTGGCTTGGGCGCTCTGCTGGTGAATAATCGTGTGGCTCCTCTGCTGAGGAAAACCTACTTTGGAGGGGGCACAGCCGCGGCATACCTTGCAGGAGAAGACTTCTATATCCCGAGACACTCCGTGGCTGAAAGGTAACCTCACTGTGGCAGTGGTTGGCTGGAGTTCAGGAAGGGGGCTGGCCTGTGTCACCTACAGGGTTGTACAAGGGACCAGACTGGCCGCTGGGGTCAGGGGGCTTGGAGTCGGAGGCAGGGATGGAGGCTGGCGGCTGGGCTCAGATCTGGGAGGTGGAGGTTGGCTGGGGCGTGCCCTAGGTGGCTCAGTGAACTGGGCCCCCATTTGTGGGCTTCTCCACAGCTACGAGAGGACAAGGGCTGTAGGCAGGAGAGGTGAAGGGCTCTCAGGAGAGGAAGGAGGGTGGGCCACCAGGCCTTTTCCCAGAGTGCAGACAAGAGGTGCAGCAGTTTATTCAAGCAGTCCTTTAAAAGATGGCATCATTTGGAACAAGTTAGCGAACGGACGGCCCAGCTGGTGATTCAGCTGCTGGAATCCACTCAACCTGGCAGCTGGTGGGCAAGAAGATACCATTAATTCAGAAGCCACCAGACGTGTGGGGCACTGTTAACAGCCCCATCTGTGAGCCCTGTGAGTGACAAAGTGACTTTGAGGGCAGGCAGCTACTGGCCGGCAAACGGCATAGGCCTTGGCTGGCTTTGTGGGTTTCTGTGTCTTCCTCAGGCTGCAGGGCAGGTGGTGTGGGGAGCCAGGAGCTCTCCCAGGGACTGATGACTGGGCCTGTAAGGTCGAAGTCGGGAGAGGGTGAAAATGACAGCTGACCCAGGGTTCTGCTGGGGCCAACAGCAGGGAACACCATGGGATTGGGCCAGGGAGCTACTCACACTGCTGGTGCCTCAGAAGGCCTGGGCCTGGATGGGAAGGTGGGTCAGATCCCCCACAGACCCGGGGGCAGACTCAGGGTTCTGCAGATAGGGCCGTGTCCCCAGCAGTAGAGTCAGTCAGTGGTCAAATGTTTAGGCCCCAGATCTGGGTTCCTGGCGGGGGAATCCTGGCTTTACCACACAGCAGCTGTGGGGACACAGACATGTGACTTGGTCTCTGCACCTCATGTTTTTCTTTCCTTCTTTCTTTCTTTTTTTTTTTTAAAGAAACAGAATCTTCTTTATTTTATTTTTTATGATTTTATTTATTTATTTGACAGAGAGAGAGAGCACAAGCAGGGCGGGGGAGGTGGTTGTTAACAGCAGAAGGAGAGGGAGAAGCAGACTCCCTGCTGAGCAGGGAGCCTGATGCAGAGCTTGATACCAGGACACTGAGATCATGACCTGAGCCGAAGGCAGATGCCCAACCGACTGAGCCATCCAGGCACCCGTGGTGTCTCTTTTCTTTAGGACTTCTCCGTAGTTGGGGGATTCTGAAACAAGAATGCTAATGTAAAACATTTTGTATCCAAGTCTGATAATATAGCAAGTAATATAACCAAATGAGAAGACAATGGCAGGCACACATCATACAAATTAAAGGCAGATCACAATGACAACTCAAACTTTATTGAGCCAATAGGAGCATCTGAAGGCCAGGAGAAGTGGGGCAGCTCGGAACGGGCAGCGTGAGGATGGGCTGGGCTGACCACCACTTTACTTCCATTGGGCGGGTTGCCTCATAGCAGGTGCTGCACCAAGATTCCCAGAAAGCTGAATGTATTTATTTACCACTAGAAGCCTCATTTTTTTCTTGTGAATTTAGGACTAGAACTCAAGAGATTTAGTACTCAACCCAAATGTTTTCTGAATATGTACCCAGACCATCCTCTTAATTGTTTTATAACCTAAGGAGAGACAACCTTTTATGGAACCAGAAAACCTTCCTTTCCCCCAAGGGTTTATTAATCATTGATTAATAAATAATTATTTATTACTGATCTATAACTTAAGTCATTATAGGCTAATAATGTTTAATTTATTAAAGATTATTAATTCACTAGTGATTAATAATTAGTAATTGATTCATTATCAACTAATTCATTATTAATTCACAACTGATTCGTTATTAATTGTTGGTTCATATACTTGTTTCATAATTATTATTAATGCATTGGTTTTATAAGGAAATTAACATTTCAGTAACAACATTCTGAGCAAATCTCATCCCTACAATATTAAAATATGAAGCATAGTATTTCCACTGAAAGCTTCAACTTGCTTTGGTAACTCACAGCCCGGCCCCCAGAGGCTGCCGTTTGTCACCGTCCTTCATCCCCATGCTCCCCGGAACCTCCTGTCTCCAAGCTCCCCGCTCACCTGCAGTAGTCCGAAGCCTGACTCTGCTTGTCAAAGCCTGGGTCCCATCCTATCCCTGCTCTCTGCTCAGAGCTCTTAAGACACAAGGTATCTCCGCAAGGTAGACGTCCTCTGACTTTATCTCCTACCACTCTCCACCTTGCCGGCTCATTCCCAGCTCATTCCCAGCTCATGCGTACTCACTCCTGGCTGCAATGGTGTTCTTACCATTCGGGAAGTGTGCCCGCCTCGGCCTCCTCAGGGTGTTTGCTGCCACCTCTCCCTGGGTTGCCATTTCCCTCTGAAACTCTGAACTCAGTTGTTTAAAAGATGATACTTGGGTTCCATAGAGTTTGGAATGATAGTGTTTCCAAGATGATGTGTGGTTCCATAGAGTTTGGGATCACTGACATGTAGTACATTGATCATGCTTAACTGATGCCCTGTCAGTGGTGTTCTCTTGGGGTCAAGGGCAGCATTTAAAGAGCCCAAAGCCCTTGAGGTTTTGTCAAAATCTTCATAGGGGCAGGATAGCATTTCTCAAGGTCGTGACTCTCTTTTAGCTCCCTTTACCCCTGTGGCCATCCTCTCCCAAGAAAGCTGCCAAGCAAGTCAGGACCAGAGGTGGCCCCATGGGTCTTGGTGTGCAAAGCCCTCTGTCCTGATGGGGAGAATGAGCAGTGGTTTATAAGGCAGCAGAGAGAAGGTATTCAGAGATTATGGCTAAGCCTAAAATCAGAACCTTGTTACACTCCACAGAATGCACATGGAGAAGTTGGCTTGACCTTGTTTCCCTCAACACTGTTACAGGTTTGAAGATGGCACCATCTCGTTTCTTGACGTGATAGCACTAAAACATGGATTTGATGCCCTAGAGCTCCTCACAGGTCAGTGGACCCTTTCCTCCATGTCAGATTTTCTCCTGAAATGGGCACGGTTTAGGTAAGGACATGGGTCTGTGCGAGTGGCTGGCACTTGGCTGCTGAACCCTGGATGAAGTTGAAGCTTATTCTCAAGAACTTCAGAATGATTTCTGAGGCAAGAGCAAGAGACTGAGGTGCCTTTTTTGTTGTTGTTGTTTTGCCAGTTAAAAGAACATTTTAACGAGTTAGAGATATTATAAATCAGAGATGAGTAGCTTCATAGCAGCAGACGAACCATCCTTGGTCCTTGGACTGGGAATGGTTACAGATCCGGAGACCTCATTCCACCGTTCCCTTGCTGGGTCCTCCCTCCTGTCACACGGGGGAGCTGTGTGTTGAGCCCACTTTGCCCATGAGGAGCTAATACTCAGAGAGGTTAAATGCCTTCCCCAGGGTCAGGGACCTAGTAATTGAGAGGGCGGGGATTTCAACCTAGGCCATAACAATGCCTAACCCTGGCGTACCTTGTGGGGGGGGGGCTCAGTCAGTGAAGCCTTTGCCTTCGGCTCAGGTCATGATCCCAGGGTCCTGGGATCGAGCCCCGCATTCAGCTCTCTGCTCTGCAGGAAGCTTACTTCTCCCTCTCCCACTCCTCCTGCTTGTGTTCCCTCTCTCGCTTGTCTCTCTCTGTCAAATAAATAAATAAAATCTTTAAAAAAAAAACAAAATGCCTAACCCTGAGCCCCAACCACTGTCTCTCCTGTTGGCCTTTGCAATAATGCATGTTTTCTTTCCTGGTAAGCGGGAGACATTCACTGTAGGCTGACACGCCAACAGATGTCACTTCCCATCATGTGGAGTTTGACACAAAGGTATACATGACTAGAAGAGCCTCTGACTCATGAGCCAGGCAGACACCATCCTGTTGTGCTCCTGGGCACTCCTCCAAAGGCTGAGCTTATAGAACTGGGTGGTGCTGTTTGTACTATCCATATGGAAATAGAGTTGTGGTGAACCAGGGATGTGGCTTAATGATTAGGTGGTCCTTCCTTTCTCTCTCTCTGGTCACAATAATGAGACCCTTCAGGTTCTCAACCTGAGCCCGATACTGGAGGCAGAAAGGATTCTTGGGAGGGGATGGGTGGGTAGCCCTGATGGTAATGCAGGGAGGTGAGTGGACATCATCCAGGACAAGAGGAAATAATAAAGACAAGCACTGAGCGATGAGCACTTTTCCAAGGAAAGATATTAATAGATACCCACACCGCAAGCTACAGGTCTGTCGGGGGCTGGGGCACCTCTGAACTGAAAGCAGACTGACCATATCGGTTCCCCAATAAAGCAAACCCTGATTATTCCTACTTATTTGCTCCTTTGGAAAAAAATGTGAACTATCTGTAACATAAAATGCACCATTTTATCCATTTTAAGTGTACATTTCGGTGGCATTAAGTACGTTTGCCTTGTTATGCAGCCATCCAGCACTGACCATCTCTAGGACTTCTGCATCATCCCAAACGGAAACTGTACCTATTGGACAGTAACTCCCCTTTGCCCCTCCCCTGGCCCAAGAAATCTCCGTTCTCTTTTCTGTCTCTACGAATTTGCCTGTTCGAGGCACTTATAGAAGACACAATATTTGTCCTTTTATGTCTGGCTTATTTCACATAATGTTTTCAAGGTTCATCCATGTTGTAACACGTATCCTTAATTGATTTGAAGAGTGTTAAAATGATTTAAACATGAAAAGAAACAGCAAAAAAAAAAAAGGTACATTTAAAGATAAAATTGTGACCTGGCTGGGTCAGTTGGTGGAGTGTGCGACTCTGGATCTTGGGGTTATGAGTTCCAGCCCAGCATCGGGTGTAGAGATTACTTAAAAATAAATTTTAAAAACTTTAAAAAATACTAATAAAGATAAAATTGTGCATTTTTGCCATCTGTAACCCAAGGGTATAAATTAAAAAAAGAAAAGCGAAGGATGACAAGATTCCTGTGACAATTCCACAGAACAGCAACAGTGAGGTGTTGGTCAGGGCCCCGCATCTACACATTAACCATACGGACAGTACCACACACTGTCTACCAGTATTGACAACCATTAATCTGAGCTCCAGCTTGGTGGTTAGAATGATCTTGTTTTTCTTAGAAATGAGTGAGTGAGGGGCGCCTGGGTGGCTCAGTCGGTGAAGTGTCTGCCTTCGGCTTGGGGCATGATCTCAGGGTCATGGGATCGAGCCCCACGTCGGGCTCCCTGCTCAGCAGGGAGTCTGCTTCTCTCTCCCTCTGCCTCTCCCCCTACTTGTGCTCTCTCGCTCTCAAATAAATAAATAAATAAAATGAGTGAGTGAATTACATGTGAAATTCATGTTTCTCTCTGACGTTTCACAATCGTTTTTGAGGTGGAATGGAGAATATAAAGCAGCACACCTTCACCTTGGCTCAGTACACCTACACTGCCCTGTCTGCCCTCCGGTACCCCAGTGGAGCCCCTGTGGTGCGGATTTACAGTGACTCTGAATTCAGCAGCCCGGAGGTGCAGGGTCCGGTCATCAATTTTAACGTGCTCGACCCCAGTGGGAACATCATCGGTTATTCCCAGGTGGGTCTCCTCATCACCTCGCACCCTCATTCACAGCAGAAATGCGGTCCTCTGGCACTCTGCCGCCTTCTGGAGCCCTGAAATGTGCGGTGAGGGTCCTGGGGTGCTTGCGGCAGCTGTGGGAAGGGCAGCCCGGGCGTGGGTGCAGGGACCCCGGCCCTTCCTTAGAGGCTCCGTACTCTCGTTTCCATGTCGTTCTAACTGGCGTGGCTGTTTACTTTACCAGCCCTCCTTTTTCAGCCAGAAATTGTCAATTTCGAGTGTGAGGAGAGGGACGCAGAGTGATCGCCGTGGAAGGGGACAGCTGACAGCTTGCCAGCTGTTTAGGGAAGGCACCCTAAAAGAGTGTAGACAGAAAAGCAGTATAAGACAGAACAGTACTTCTCAGGTCGTTTCATGTCTATTCAGCATGGCGGCCCCAGTGACCGGATCACGGCATCAAACAAAACGTGGGCCTGTTACCACCAGGTATTTGCCTGTGGCTTGGAATTCAGAACTCCTTCTTTACAACAAGTATCACAAAAGCCCTTATTTCTGCCATAGTTCATGCATATTATGAGTTCAAAGGATTTAGTAGTTTGGTTATAAAATAGTTTGTGCAAAAGTGCTCTTTGCATCTATTTTCCCATGAAAACAGGGCAAAGAGTGGAGGATGGGAACTGCTGGGGTCCTTGCCATAGCTGAGTAAGCTGGTCACTGTTCAGTCAATTAAAATGTCCAGAGTCATAGCAAGCACTCAGACATGGTGGTAGATGGTCACCAGATGGGGTGTCATAGGCTAGCAGGGATGGGGAGCCCGAGACCCATCCCAGAGCATGGGTTCCTAGAGCAGCTCTGTGAGGAGCAGTTTCAATGGTCAGGTAAGTTTGGAAGAGAGTGCTCATCTTCCCTTGAAAGCCATGATCCCCATTCACCTTTGTTAAATGCAGAATTTCTCAAACAAAATCCATTTCTCAAGGAAGCATATCCACCCCCTCTTCTCAATAGCCATAAACTATCTGAGGAACAAAGTTGAGAACTATGCTTCTGGGGACGTGTCGATTCTTACTGGTATCTGGGGAGGGGACATTTTACAACCACAGGTTGTCTCTTGGGTAGGTTTACTGTGCAGACCTCTGCTCAGTAAGTCACTGGCTGGCCGATGCCACAAAGAAGCATGCTATTTTAAATGCTTTTGGAGGATGGTGGAAAACGCATCAGGAGGAAACGTTTTGCCTTCTTAAATACATTATTCTGGGTGACTGGTAAAGTAAGTCTCATTCTTGGACCTAAATAAGTTTGTATTTCCTGCGTGGTGTGAAGGAGGACAGACAGGTGACCGTGAAGTATGCTGTGTCAGGCAGAGCAGGGAGGGAATGCCTCATTTGGCCAGAGAAACCTCGAAGGGGAGAAGAGCCCTGGGGTGGGGGCAGGGGGAAACACCTGTTTAGGTGTCCTGCTGACTTCACTAGGTCTCTTATTCCACGAGCCTGGACCCAGGACAGGTTTCTCTGTCCGTGTGTCTGTAAAGGCAGCTGGTCACATGAGGGACCAGTGGATTCCATGGCCGAGGCCTGGAAATCCAGCCTGGTTTCCCCGGGCTCCTTCCCTGTGTCGGAATTCCACAGGGATATTGGTGGCCTTCAGAAAGATCAGATGGTTTCATGGCTGGGTTGGGCTCTCTTTTCAGGAGATTTCAAAAGAATCTGTGATTCTTTTCAAAGTTAGCTTTCCATAAGAAGTTTGGGGTTCTTGTTTTTGATATCAGGCCTCCTAATTCCATTCTTCCCTCTGTGGAAGTCACTCTACTCAGTGGTTAAGAATGTGGGCTCAGATTCTGACTGCCTTTTGTTGGCTCTGTGAGCTTGGGCAAGTTGTAAACACTCCAAGTGTCCATGAAATGGGGATGGCAAAGTACCCTGCTGATAGTATTGCTCTGAGGATTGAATGAGATATGCTATTGAATGCCTGAGCATGGGGCCCAGTAGGAAGCAAGTGCTCAGTAAACGCTGAGCATGAAGGCACCTGGGTGGGGAGGCTCCCATGCTGCACTCTGGTGCGGCTGCTTTCTTGATGTCCCCAGATGTTGTGCTCATCCTGCTGCTGAAACCAAATCTTTCACTTGGTCAGGCACCAGCCGGGATCCCATGGGGCTCAAGGTGAGAGGGTACCGCCTCATAATGGGAAATTAGGAGGAAGGGTTAAGTGTGGCCCAAACAGCCTCTTCTAAGTGGAGGCTTTCTCTCTTCCTGAATCTTGGTGGGTTTGTGACTCGCTCATAACCAGGAGAATGCCACAGAAGGGGATGCTGCGTGGCAGCCACATCAGAATTATTCCTTGGAATGTCCATTCTGGGGCCCAAGTTACCATGTAAGAAGGTCTACACTGAGGCTGCCATGCTCTGAGGAAGCCAGCCGTGTGGAGAGGCCAAGCACAGGCCCTCTGGTGGCAGTCCTGTTTTGAGCCCTCCTGGCTGGAAGGCCACACACACACACACACACACACACACACACACACACACACACGCATAAGTGAGTCTCCAGATGATTCCAACTCCCAGACACAACGTCACTCCCAGCCTTGGCGTCTTTCCTGCTGAGAGTCGGGAAATCATGGAAAAGAGTCAAGCATCTCCTCTGCACTCTTTCCAAATTCCTGACCTACTATAGCTGCGAGCACAAAAAAATGGTTATTATTTTGTTCCACCAAGTTTAGTGGCTTGTTTCACAGCAGTGGTAACAGACTGTGAATGTGGGGTTTGGGGGTGGGCACAGGAGACTTCTATTTCCAGTTGGCAGGGGTTGGGGTGGAGCAGTGAGGGAGCCTCCCAAACAGCTACCCGTTGAAAGGAGGCCACCTGACTCTGGAGATGGGGTTGGCCTGACCCAGTGGTTCTGCCAGGTCTCAGCTCTGAGTGCCAGGGAATGCCTGAATTTCATTAGCAGGTCTCCACGTCACTGAACTATTTGCCCAGGCTAAAGGAGCAGAGTTGCTTTCCTGAGGCCCCTCAGTTCAACCCAGAGGATGGCTTCTTCTCACTCTGACAGTCCAGGGTAGGCAGCTAATGTGAAGACAGCCCCGGTCTCAGCACTGTGGGAGGCACCATTGCTGTTACAGACTGCTGGAAGCACATGCTGACCGTGTGGTGACATCCTTTAACACCGGTTTCATGTCGTATTGAACCCACAGGTGGATAAAATGGCCAATCTTTACAACATCCACTTGCGAACTGGCTGCTTCTGCAACACTGGGGCCTGCCAGAGGCACCTGGGGATAAGTGATGAGATGGTCAAGAAGCATCTTCAGGTTGGTACTGCTGGTCATCTCCAACGGTGGCCTCTCCAACCACCCTGGAGGCTGGTCTTGTGTCTGGGGTCAGAGATCCCAACCAACCATGAACTGGCTTTTACTTAAAAAGAGAGAGGAAGGCCTGCTACAGAAACAAATGCAGTTTTAGATAGAATATTTGATCCTGAGGAGTGTTGTGACCCCAACTCTTTAGGTGACTGAGCTGGGTTCAGCACGGGGGCAGGTAGGTGCCCTGAGCAGCGACTGATACCGGGCAGCCCCGCTTGGAGAAAATTGGGGACCCCTCACCTTTCTTTCCCCACCTCCCAGCAGGAGCACCCAGCCTGCTTTGGCTTTTGTAGTGGCCTTGGCTGGTCATTCACAGAGGGAGCATCTCTGTCTTGCCTTCTTGTCAAAGGGCAGCTCTCAGGGATGCAGCCCTCCCTCTGGTTCTGAGAGAGGCTCAAGGGAGCGACCAGCAGGTGTTTCTCCTGCCTCAGCCCAGGGGAGACCAAGAAGCTGACCCATCAAGCTTCTGAAACTTTGGTCTGTCTTTTGACGTGTCTGTGGGTTGGCATGGCGCGTGGCTCTGGGTAAATACCTTCCGTGCAGTATTTCTTCTAAACTTTTTAATGATCCATTGAGATTGGTATTGGCCCCAACTTACACCTGAGCAAAGCGAGATTCGCAAGGGAGTTCTGATGCTTAGGAGACCATGGTTCAGGCACACAGTGCGTGTTACTGTTGCAGTTTCTTGTCCTGGGTTAAGTTTCTTCTTCAAAACGATTTCCAATTTATCCATGAGGAATGAGTCACTCTGGCTGACTTATTTCCCTTTTATTCTAGGCTGGTCATGTCTGTGGAGACAATGTGGACCTAATAGATGGGCAGCCTACAGGGTCTGTGAGGATTTCCTTTGGATATATGTCTACACTTGAGGATGCCCAGGCCTTTCTCAGGTTCATCATAGCAATGCAACTGCGCGGGTCTGATGGACAGCCCCTCCCTCAGACCGCTGCTGGGGAGGCTGGAGCCCTGTCAGAGAGCGAGGCTCAGGACGCCGTGCTGGCCACCACGGACAGATGTAGTTCCTCACCTCAGAAAGAGGCCCCCACGGCCTCTGGGGTTTGTAACGACTTGCCGAGCACTGTGGATGCAGGGGGTTCACACCCACCTCCGCTGATGGCCACCAGGACCCAGCAGACCCCTTTAGAGAAAGCTGCAGGAGTCCTGGATGGGGGCCTTGGGCCACATGTCATCACCAACCTTTACCTCTACCCGATCAAATCCTGTGCTGCATTTGAGGTAAGAGTTTTAAAGGAGGCACAGAGACTGCTTTTTGTTGTTGTTCTTGTTGTTTACTTTATGACTTTTTTTTTTGATAAAGTGAAGAAAAAAGGACAGAAGGTAAAGCAAAGCATGCAGAAAATCAAAATCATATTCGGAGTATCGTGACATATGAAGGGTTGTTCTCATTCTGCCTTTCTTGGTTTGGGCTGACTTTTGAACATGGCTCCACTTGGAGGTACACCGGAGATGATCCTGTTTCTGAATGGTGAACACCTAGTTACTCTTAATAATTATAGATATAATTTTCACTGAATGCATGTGCTGGTTCCCTGCTGAAGCATTTTACATGCTTTGTTTCGTTCCATCTTTAAAACAACAATATGAGGTACATGGGAGTATCATCCCCATTTCATAGATAGCCTGAGGGCTATTGAGGTTAAGCACTTTGCCCAGTGATTGATGAGCTAGGAAAGATTTGAATCCGGGTCTGCTGATTCCTTGGGTCAATGCTTTTATGTGACTTGTTCTGCTCAGCCCTCCCTGTGGATATGAACTGTGTTATGTCTTGAAGTGTGCCCGCCTGGTGATTACCTGAGCTGGGAGGCTGGCCAGCCAGCCCTGACATGCCTGTGGTGGCAAAACTGAAGCTATCTTTCTATGATCTGTGTGTGTCTCAAGTCCCAGGCAAAGGTCCCAGACTCCTGAGCCTCTGGAATAACAGGCTCTTTGGTTCCTGATCAGACATACCATGGTCAGGGCTGTTTGTGGCCTGCCTTTCAGGGTGGTCCCATGGGAGCCTGTCCTCCAGGCTGAGACTGTAACAAGCAAGTTCACTTTCACTTCCTAATGGAGGAAGGTGAGGAGTCCATGTTTCCCATGTGTGTGAGGACTTGTATTTTTCACAGACTGGTCATGTTCCGTAGGATAGCCACATAGCACAGATACCCCATGGAGGAATTAGTGTCCCGTTTCACAGATGAGGACACTGAGACTCAGTAAGGTTTGCTAAAGGTCTTCTATCCATCTTCTCATTCAAAAACTGCATACCAAGGACCTGCTATCTGCCAGGTCTTGGGCCAACACCTGTTATACATTGATGAGCAAAATGGAAAATGTTCCTTCCCTTAGAGAGTACAGTATCTCAGAAGGGACAGACACAAGACCAAGCACCACCCAAGTGAATAGAATCACACTGGTAATAAGGGCCCATGAAGACATGAAGATAGAATTCTGGTGGACAGATGTCTTAGTCCATTCTGGCTGCCATAGCAAAGTGCCATCAACTGTGTGGCTTATAAACAACAAAAATTTATTTCTCATGGTTCTGGAGGCTGCAAGTCCAAGATCAAAGTGCTGGCAGATTCGATGTCCAGTGAGCGTTCACTTCCTGGTTCACAGACAGTGTCTTCTCACTGTGTCCTCACCCGGCAAAGGGGTGAGGGAGCTCTCTGGGGCCTCTTCTCTAAGATCTTTAATTACATTCATGACAGCTCCACCTTCATGATCTACTCACCTTCCAAAGACCTCCTAACCCCCAATGTGAGGGTATTATCTGAGGTTTCCTTATGATTTCTGTAGTTTTGGCAGGAATTCCATAAGAGTGATACTATGCTTTCTCAGTGCATCCCAGAAGGAGACACACTCTGTTCATTTGTCTCAATGCTGGTGACATTAACGATCATCATTTGCTTAAGATGGGGTCTGCCAGGTTTCTCTACTGTAAAATTCATTAATAAGTAATTAATCAGTATTTCATGGAGAGATATTCTGAGGATATGTAAATATCCTGTTCCTTGTCAAACTTTTATTCACTAGATTTAGCATCTACTGATGACTTTTGCCTAAATCAATGATTGGAATGATGATTGCAAAATGGTCATTTAAGAAATTCCATCATTCTTTTTAGATTTATTAGTTGCTATTCTATTGTAGGATAGAGCTTTCCTTCTTCCATGTTTATTTAGTCATTAATTCTTCTCTCTCTTTTTGTATCTTCATGGGCTCATCAATGCTGATTTTGCTCAAAAGGTTACAACCCATCTTTATCAGTATTTATTTCGATGCTTAAATTGCCACAGACTTGGCCCCTGGGAGCTCCTTCAGGTCAGATCCTGTGTCCTTTTGATATGTCCCTGTTATTCCTTGAGCATTTGCTTACTTTCTGGTGCAATAATGTGTTCTAGGCTCATTCTGTATGTCCCCTGCCTGAGAAATGGAATGGGTCATTTCATCAAAAGCACTTCACTTCTTACATCAGAGAATGACATTGAGAAACTAATACTTGGTTGCCAAGTCTGATCCTTGACCTTGCTCCTATGCCCTCTGAGTGTACAGAGCTTAAAAATATTTGCTATTGTGACAGATTATCATAAACTTTTAACAGGACTCATCTGATTAGATTGGGCCCACCTGGGTAATCCAGGAAGATCTCCCCATTGTAGGGTCCTCAACTTTAATCGCACCTACAAGTCATTTTTGCCTACTTCCGGGGATTGGGATGTGGACATGTTTAGGAGGACCATTATTCTGTCCACCACATATATGTACGTGTTAAGACTTTGGGGATACTCTGCATACATGTGTGCATACACACATCTGTATTTTTATATCTATCTATTATCTATCGATCTATCCTCTGTCTCTACCAGCTAGCCATGCTCCCAATTTCCCACTAACACCTCCACTTTCAATCCAATACCACATTGTTTATTCTATCTATGCCCCTCTCCATACTTGTAACTCCTGTTAGAAACCTGGCTTCTATACCTTCACCAGATACTTATTTGCTCAACTTCTCCTTCTGTGACCAAACCCCTGCTGCAGCAGCTGAAGGCTCAGCCCCACACATGCCAGTTCCCCGCCTCCTCAGGAAGAAGAAAAGAGGAAAAGGGAAGCCAGCACATTACATTTTTTAGATGGCAAAATAAAAGAGAAAATTATAGACCTATTTCCACAAATAGGTGAAGAACTGTGAAGAGGCTGAGGTTTGCCCTCCTTGTAAGCTAACCAGCTAGCCTGCCACAGTGTTCTCAATGCTGGCAGAAAACACGAGACTCCTGGGTCAGAGACAAAGGGATTTATTACTCACAGAACAGCAGGCAGCATGAGCTTCATGTTTGTGTTGCTTCCCTGTGCCCCCCAAGTCCCAAGAGGGGTTACAGAGGGGCCCAGGTGGGTGGTGTGCACATGGCTGAGGAAACCCTCCCTCAGGGAACCGTATTCATAATAGGATGTGAGCAAACATGCCTAGCTGTTGCTCTGAGGAAGACATTATAATACTGGACTGTGAGCAAACCTGTTCTCCTACCCAGAGGCTTGTAGTCATTGTATTTACTTGTATTCTCTATACAAACATACTCAGAAAGGTAGTCTGGAACGAAAGGGCAGTTAGTACTTCTGCTCGTGACAACAGACACGCAGAAACAAGAGACGTGAAGATCGTCTCCCAGTAACACATTGTCTTCTAAAAAGATATTTGTAATTCAAAACATATTTTCCTACAGAAATAACGATGGTGGTTTCTGGGCTTTCCAATAGAAATAATATTTAATAATAGATAAATAAATAAGAAATAATGATGGTGGTTTTGGGGCTTACCCGTAAAGGCATATAGACCATTATATTGCAGAGCTTGAGTGTTGGACCAACAGAAGCAGCTATAGTCTGTGGGGAGACTATTGGATACATGAGAAAAATTGAAGGGAGAGGTAAAGAGATTAACACCTATGGATCATCTGATATAGTTTAGTTGCTTTACATTTTATATTTCATTTTAGCTTTCAGCCAATACTATGAGAAATGATAATAATGTCCATCCTACATGTGACAAAGCCAAGACTCAGGAAGGTTAGGAAGTTGTTCAAAGCTAATAACGGTTGAGGTGGGATTTAAACCCAGGTCTGTCAGTCTCCAGAGTTGCCCCCAGCCCCCATTACACGACATTTCCGCTTCCTGAATACAGGGCTCTCCCTGCTTGAGGTGAAGCTTACCTTGACTTTCTTCCTCCTTGAGTTCTGTGCCCTCTCCCTGTGCCCTCTAGCCCCTCTCCTTTACTTTCTGTGGTGCCTCAGCCTTCTCTGAGGTCCCTCACTGGAAGACCCACCCCAAAATGCCCCTTGATTAAAAATTGCTTCCCACTCTTCATCACCTGCTATTGAAGTTTTCAGGTTCTTTTGGGTGGCTGAATTGAGTGCTCAGAGGAAAATAATTGGATGAAATTGATTCATTCACAGTTTGAGAATGATTGTCTCTTAACTATTTCAAAAGCATTTTTTTCGTCTTTGCCTATGCTTTTCTTCAGTGGACAGCTGGTTCCAGAAGAGCCCTCACTGATGGGGCTACCGGACATGCGCTGTTTCCTGCAGTGCTGTTAGCAACTAAGCTGTGGACAAAAATCCTGTGATGACCTGGCCATACTTCATTGAAATGTCATTAGTTTTTCTCTAATGCCCTTTTTCTGTTCCAGGATCTCATCCCAGATGTCATATTATATTTAGCGGTCATGTCTCCTTAGGCTTCTGTGGGCTGTACCGGTTTCTCAGACTTTCTTTGTTCTTGATGACCTTGACAGTTTGAGGAGTACTGGTCAGGTATTTTTTAGCATGCCCCTCAATTTGGGTTTGTCTGATGTCTTTCTCATGGGGTTACGGGTTTTTTTTTTTTTTGTGGGAGGAGGACCACAGAGGCAAAGTACTATTCTCATCATATCATATATCATATTGTATCATATCATATCATATCATATCATATCATATCATATCATAGTACATACTGTCAACATGACTTATCACTATTGATGTTAATTAACCCTGATCTCTGGTTGAGAGAGTGTTTATCAGGTTTCTTCACTATAAAGTTTCTCCTCCACCCCCTTTCTGTACTGAACTCTTTGGAAGAAAGTCAGTAAGAAAGTCACCCTACATGTAAAGGGTGGGGAGTTATACTCCTCTTTCTTGAGGGGGAGCATCTACATCAATTATTTGAGGTTCTTCTGTATGGGAGATTTAAATTTTCTTACTTAAATCTTTGGGTATTTATTTATTATGTATTCAATCAGGTATTTATTTCAGTATTGACTCCTGAATATGTATTTTATATGTTGGGTTATAATATAGTACTACATCATTATTCTTATTTTTGCTCAAATTGTTCCAGTTTTGGCCGCGGGCATGCTTTCAGCTGACTCTTGCATCCCTTTGACATACTCCCATCATTTGGTTTTTTTGAGTATTTCCTTACTTTTCTACCACCACCAGATGCTCCTGACCCAGCCCTAGAATCAACCATTTCTCCAGTGACCCGGCCATATATAGCCACAATTTGTGTGAGAAATGTCTATAGTATGAGGGCATGCCTATACAGCATTCACCACTGTGGAAGGATAGAGAAAAAGTGAGAGTGATGGAAGTCTGTGGGGAGGGGAGCTTAGAGGTGGGTGGAGTGGAGACTTACTTTCCATGCACACCCTTGCTTTCTCTGAGTGTTGCTCCATGCACACACATTACCCCTTTAAAAGACAGGTTGAAGAGGAGAAGGGTAGGAAGTGGCTCTGGAGGGTGAATGGAAGGAATCTAGCGCTCACATGGTCTCCTTTGCATTGTCTACTTTGCTTTCCCTTCCTTTCTTTCTTCATTTCCTCCTTTAAGAGTATGTGCTGCATTCATTAAGTCCGTCTGTACTTGTGCAGCCACAGTGCAATGATGTGAAGACCATTTTTGAGGAGCTCCGTCCTAAAACACACTTACCTTTTTGTTTAGGTGACCAAGTGGCCCCTAGGAAATCAAGGGCTGCTGTATGATCGGAGCTGGATGGTTGTGAACCACAATGGTGTGTGCCTGAGTCAGAAGCAGGAGCCCCGGCTGTGCCTGATCCAGCCCTTCATTGACCTGCAGCAGAAGATCATGGTCATCAGAGCCAAAGGTGTGAAAACTGGGTTCATTTTCACAATTCAACTGTCAAGAGTAGCTTTTATACTCCTATGAAGGTAAAATAATAGGTTTTCCTCTACCAAATATTAAAATAATCCTAAAGTAAGTCAAATGTTGTCTAAGAGAACACACCAAGTTCTTGCTCCTTGTGTTTTGAGAAATCTCAGGAGTGAGGTTAAAGATCTGACAAATCACTCAGAAATAAAGAAGTATAAAATTTAAAATTATGCCTTTTCACTTACATTCCCTTTATTTTAGTCACTTGTCATAATACATACTCAAGCTTTAATTCTTCCTTGTTGATTTTTTGTTATGAACTATCTAACATATATAAAAGTATAGATCAGCTCTGTCCAATGGAACTTTATGTGTTGATGGAAATGTGCAATATGTATATTGTCCACATTGGTAGCCACTGGTTACATGTGGCTATTGAGCACACGAAACGTGGCTAGTGGGAAGTGCACAGATCAGTAGTGTTTTTGTATGTTCATGAGGTTGTGCAACCATCACCACTATCAACTTCAGAACATTTTCATCTCCATAAAAGAGAAACTTTGTAGCCATTAGTAGTCACTCCCCATCGCCGGCCTCATCTCTGACCCCTGGCAACCACTAATCGAATTTCTGTTTCTATAGATTTGCCTATTCTGGATGTTTTGTGTAGATGGAATCACGCGGTATGTGACTGGCTTCTTTCGCTTAGCACCATGTTTTCAAGGGTCATCTACAGTGTTGAATAATATTCCATTGCATGGATATATCATTTTGAAAAATCTATTTAGTAGTTGATGGATATTTAGATTGTTTCCACTTTTTGGCTATTAGAAATCATGCTGCTGTGAACATTTGTGTACAAGTACAAGTTTTTGTGTACAAGTTTTATGTGGCCATATATTTTCCATTCTCTTGGGTATGTACCTAGGAGTAGAATTGCTGGGTCATGTGGGAACTGTATGTTCAGCCTTTCCAAGGTGGCTGCAACGCCATTTTACATTCCCACCAGCAATGCACAGCGGTTCTCATTTCTCCACGTCCTCAACACCTGTTATTTTCTGTTGTTGTTTTTCAGTAGTCATTGCAGTGGGTGTGTAGTGGTACCCCTGCGGCTTTGATTCGCATTTCCTTAATAACTAATGATGTTGACTATCTTTTCTTGGGTTTATTGGTCATCTGTATATCTTCTTCAGAAAAATATTCAAATTCCTTGCTTATTTATTTTTGAATTATTGAGTTGTAAGAGTCCTTTCTGTATTCTGTATACAAGTCCCTTTTCAGATCAATGATTTTCAAATATTGTCTCTCATTGTGTAAGTTGTCTTTTTATCTTCTTGATGGTTCCATTTTACTTTTGATCTGTCTGCCTGTATCACAATAATTGAAGTGAGTTTCCTGTATCCAGCATAGAGTTGGCTCATGCTTTTTTATCCCCTTTGACTATCTGTGTATTTTTATTGTGTCCTGTTGGAATTTTGATTGTAAAATCACATATTTTGTAGTCATATATTTGTAATCATATTTTGATTGTAATAACATATTAATTTCAAAAGAATTTATGTCATATAATGTTGAATCTTTTATTTATAATAGTGTCTCTCTCATTTGAGACTTCTTTAATTGCTCCAAATTTTAATATTTTCCTGAAACTTTTACACTTTTTTTATGTAATAGTTTTTTAAAATTACTGAATGAACTTATTTTTGAGAGGGAGAAAGAGAGAAAGAGAGAAAGCAGTGCAGAGCCTGACGCAGGGCTCAATTGCACAACTCTGAGATCATGACCTGAGCCAAAATCAAGAGTCAGACACTTAACCGACTGAACTGCCCAGGTGCCCTGCTACGTAATAGTTTATTGGAATATTTTTAATACTATCTTTTTTCTTTTTTTAAAGATTTTATTTTATTTTATTTTTTTTTTGAGAGAGAGCGAGAGATAGAGCACGAGCAGGGGAGAGAGGAAGAGGCAGGCTCCCCATGGAGCAGTAAGCCTGACACGGGGCTCCATCCCAGGATGAGCTGAAGGCAGACGCTTAACCTACTGAGCCACCCAGGCACCCCAATACTATCTTTTTTCTATTAAATATTTTAATTGGTTATTAATGAACATAGAAACACTATTGATTTTTGTATATTAATGTTTTCCCCTGTACTTTTTCTGAATTCCTGTTAGTTTTATTAATTGATCTGAAGATTTTCTCACATATTCTGTGTGAATAGGCATATCATCTTCTAATAATATTTTTCACATCTTTCTTTCTGATTTTTATTACTCTTCTTTCTTTTTCTTATCTTACTGCATTGTCTTAGCCTGCTTGTATAATGAAGCAGTGATGGAAGATATCCTTCTTTATTACTGATCTGAATAGAACGCTTTTAAAGTTTCAAAAATAAGAATGATGCTTACTGTAGGTTTTTGATAGATTTGTTTTACCAAGCTGAAATAGTTCTTTTCTTATTTAGTCAAATGATGACTAATAGTTAATTCTTATTGAATGCTTATTATGCATCTCTTGGTTATCATATTTTTTCCCTATAGTCTATTAGTGTGATGTCTTATAGTAGTAGATTGTTTAGTACTAAATTGTCCTTGGACTTTGGGGGGAAACACTACTTGGCAATGACTTTTTGATACATTGATGGATTTGGTTCACTAATGTTTTGTTTAGTATTTTTGTACCTATATATTAGTGAGATTGATACATCACCTCCTTTTTCTGTGCTTTTCTTATTTAAGTTCAGGTATCCAGGATATTAACATACAAAAAGAACTGAGTAGATTGTTTCTCTTTCTTTCTATTCTCTGAAGCATAAAAATATGTATCGTGATTATGTAGAGTTTATCTCAGAATGTAAAGAATGGGAGAGAGAAAGAAAACAAATACCTAATAACTTCTGCTCCAAATTAGCAGCACTTTGTGAGGTGGTGTGATGTCCCCTCCCACCATGGATCAGATATTCTGCCCACTTGCAGGGGACTCCCACATTGTGGGTGGGGTAAGGGCATCCTTTGGCAATGCATGCCAATACAAATTGAATAATAAACAATAAAACAAGACATTATAATGGTTTCATGTGTGTGACTTGTCACTCCCAAAGATTTTAGGCATCTTGAGTCCAGAGGTCAGGCTCTTTTATTTCTCTGTGTCTCTGAGCTGAGCGCAGGGCTTAGAACATATGGAAAGAACTCACGTCCCATGAAATTTGTTGGGGGCCCTTGAGTTCAATTCATGCATGGATCCCAGATTTTGTTGCCTTAACCAAAGGCCTGCAACGACCTTCAGAAGGCCACTGAGGGCCAAAGATCCTGAGGGATTTATTTAGAGCCTTGTGTCAGGAGAGAAAGAGGCTGAGTACAGGCCCCCCACTGGCTGCCCAGGGAGTGCCTGTGTCCACATGCTGTCCTCCCTGCTCTGGTTACTTCCTCATAACCAGTGTTCCAAGCTCATTTTACTGCTCTCCCCTGTGGGTGCATAACTCGCACTGTGCCGTTCTTCCATGCACACCCTTTTGACACGGCAGTCTGTGATTACTCAGCACAGCACATTCCTTCTCCAAACTTTGGGAACATTCTGGATTAGTTCTTCTTCTGGCTTTCCCCACACAGGGACAAGAGTATGGAACTGGCTGTGCGTGTGTAAGGTGCAGAGGAGCAGGAACACAGTTCATGGAATACTTAGTACTCAAATTGTTGCATCTCTGTCTTTGTCGTGGTGAAAGCCCTGTGGTGATGGGCAGGGTGTGAGCAGCAGGCATGATCCAAAGCTGGTGATACGCCCATTTGTTATGCTCTGTGTGATGAAGAAGGACTGGGATGGGCAGGGATGCAGGTGTGCACGACATGCACTTGCCTGAGGGACAGGTTGGGTCATGCCGGTGAGCAGCGTGACTGGCAGCAGTGCTGAGAGGGCCGGAGGGCACAGGCGGGTCACGCAGGAGGAGCTCCTGCTTCTCGTGTCCACAGAGTAGGGGCCGCCACGCAGTCAACTCAGGTGTCTTGGCTTCAGGCCTTTCCCTGGACTCTTAAGAACTCATAGAGGACAAGGACTGCAGAGTAGCAGACCGCCTCGGCAGTTCCAGCCTTTACCAAAGGTCTTTCACTCCTTAACGGCATTGGATCAGTTTCCTCTTGTTTCATCCATGTTACTTCACTCTGATTTTATTTATTTATTTATTTATTTAAAAGATTTTATTTATTTATTTGAGAGACAGAGAGAATGAGAGAGAAAGCACATGAGATGGGGGGAGGGTCAGAGGGAGAAGCAGACTCCCTGCTGAGCAGGGAGCCCGATGTGGGACTCGATCCCAGGACTCCGGGATCATGACCTGAGCCGAAGGCAGTCGCTTAACCAACTGAGCCACCCAGGCGCCCTCACTCTGATTTTATTTAAAGAATAAATAGCACTTTAGCTGGGTAATGGGTACATGAGTGTTAACTATTATTATTCTTTAAACTGTTACATACATATGCTATATACTCCTTCATACTTACGAAATGCATAACAATTAAAGAAAAAAGAGTTTCCCAGCCCCACTGACATAGTAACAGTTTTATTCCTATCTATCTATCTATCTATCTATCTATCTATCTATCTATCTATCTAGATAATGATGATAGGCACAGGAGTCCAGTTTGATGCTCCCTCCCAGGGGCTTTTGAGAATTAACACTCTATGCAGATATTTTTACAGAATGAGCCTTCATGCCTGCCTATTTCTAAAGGACTTAAGGTAGCTTAGAAAACAATGACCTTGGGATGTGGAGTTGTTCAGAGGTAGAGAAATCTTTTTAGGGATTTATAGTGTTCCAGCTACTGTGGGTGCGACTGCTCAAGTGCAGCCTTCTTTGAGAAGGCTCTTTGATGTTCATGCTGTTGGTGGTCATGATCATGCAAAAGAGAATCTCTGTGTTATAAAGAGATTTCGAAGATCTGGCCAACTATTTGATCCAACCAACTTCCGGGGTCATTACAATTCTTGTATATTTCATGATAATGGACTTTCATTTAAATAGTTGTTCTTTTTGCCTGATGATAAATCTGTCTCTAACCTTTGTTCATTAGGGATGGAGCCTATAGAGGTGCCTCTTGAGGAAGAGGGTGAACAGGCTCAGATTTGCCAAAGCAAGGTCTGTGCGGACAGGTGAGACTGCAGCAGGTGAAAATCTCAGATCTGTCTGCAGGTGGCACAGGGGGGAAGAGAGCAATGCCCTGTAGATTGGTCCTCCGCTGCACCCCATCCAGTCAGCTGCTCCTTACCCCTCATGAACTCCACTCTGATCACACTGCCCCTCGCTGTTCTTCAAACCTACCAAACATGCTCTTTCCTCAGGATGCCAGCATAGACAGAAATGTAGCCATTTAGGGATACCTGCTGTTTTTTATGAGGCTCATTCCTGGTTGTACATTTCATTTAGCTGCATTTGAGAGAAATGCTATTTTCTGGCTCATAAAGAGGTAGCTAGGCATCTTCTGCTCAGAACCATAAGTGCTCTGATTGATGAGAATGGACTTCCATTCAATCTCTCAAAGCATTGGAGAGAAAGTGCAACTAAATGAGGTTTCATTCTACACTTCCCTTTCCAGACACAGATAGGCAGCTCTTTGATCCAGTAAAAATTAAGGATATGACAGGTATTCCATTCTATCTATCTTGTGATCCCAATGTAGGTTATTAGCAATTTTGCATTATAAATTCTGGTGATGTGTAGATTTTAGAACAATTTTTTTAAAAAATTTAAATGCTTTAGATTATATTTAAAAAGTCTCTAAGATTGCAGAGTTAAAAAAGATCTGGATCAATAAATGTACTTCTATTGGTAACTTGAAGGCATAGCATTCTTTTCACAAACCAAACCCATTATTCCATGTGGTCTGGCCATGAGGGAAAATATTAGTCAGGCCCATAGTAAAAATCCTGAACATATGTCTGGGTTCAAGGGCTTCTTAAAGCAAAGTACCGCTCTGGAAGCTCTGAAATTCTAAGCTCTCTGGTATTAGTGGCAAAAAATAATATAAACAAGGATTTTCAAATGAACTTCCAAAGCTTTCTATCTGATCTGAAAGCTTTGCACAAGCCCCAGCCCTCAGGTCTCCCCTGCGTTGGCCATCTCCCTGCCCCTTCCTGAGGACGTTTTCACTGTAGGCTTCTCTCCCTGGGATGCGGTATCATATTACGTTATATTTATTACATTGTATTATTTTGCAATCTAACTTTTTTGCTATTTAGATTATTATTTAAAGGAATACTAAATAACATTCACTCCCCTCCTTTTTTTCTCTCCTTCAGGGTAAATACTTATAATTGTGGAGAAAAAATTTCGAGCTGGTTGTCAAGGTTTTTTGGCCGTCCGTGTCAATTGATAAAACAGAGTTCAGACTTCCAAAGAAGTGCAAAGAGACGGGGCCAAGGTATGACATTTGGGGTTGGTTCTTTGGGGACAGGGACTTGGGTTTACCCTGGCGTACACCCAAATCAGCCCATGGAATGGATTTACAGGGCGACTTGCTCATGCGCAGAAAGCAGGGGGGTCTGCAGGACCCACGCGTGGTCTCCAGAGTGACCCCGAGGAGACGGAGGCGGGCTTCCAGCCAGCTGCCCCGCCTCTGACAAGCACTCTCAGTCCCCCTGTCTCGGAGCACAGTTTCACTGGGTTACATAAAATCGTCGGTAACTTGCCATGTCCTCAAATTGTATGAGGGAACAAGAAAAACCAGGTTCTAGTCTTGGCTCTGCACATGGCGGTGAGAGCTTGGCTGACCTTGAGCCTCGTGGTGCCTCGATTGGTGTAGACCTCAACTCCTTCGACTTGTAAAAGTGCTCGGAGTTTTTCCTGCCAGAGCTATTGTTAGCTGAAGTGAGACGGCAGAGAAGAAAGTGCCTGAAAGTTAATGGTACCACATGGGAAGAAGAGATCATTTTGGGGTGTCTGCTCATGCGTCACCCTCTCAGAGAAACCTTGCTTGACGGCTCTCCTTAGAAACAGAACCTCTTCAGTTCATTCCTGTTTTATTTTTCTGTGTGGTACTTTTCCCATCAGAGAGGCCACGCATTTTACTCAGTTTTTCTGTTTGTGAGATTGTGATAGATTGTAAGCTCTGAGAGGACAGGGATTTTTGTATGCTTTGTTCAGTGCTGCATCCCTGGTGCTCAGAACAGCATTGGGCACATAGTAGTTGCTCAATAAATACTAGATGACTGAATGGATGAATGAGTCGTTGCCACATTATTGATCTGTGTAGGGATGACCTGGCTTAGGGATTAGCACGCAGAGAGACTGGCTTATAAATCCGAGAGTAGCATTTTGACAGTATGGGGACCAGTGACTGGATCAAGGGATTACCTGCACAGGTGAACTTATGAATCCCTGAAAATGTATGGTAGAGAGAGGATTCAAAGGATGTAATAATCTACTTGCACTTTTAGAAGTGTTGGCAATTTGTCACGTCAGAATCTGTTCAATAATTTGAGTTGCTATGTGATGGAGAAGGGGAAAAATATATGCTCAGCTAATTGAGGAGATGAACTTGGTGGTGTTTGGGCACGGGTGAGCTTAGAGACATGATGAAAGGGGAGAGAGAAATGGGCAATTCTATGAGTAGGGACATGCAAGGAGTGGGGCTCGACAAGACCAGGGCCACCATAGAAATGAGCGGATAGAATTAGCTCTGATCATTCCTAGTGCCTCCTGTCTACCTGGGGCTCAACTGGGTCTTCAGGAGGCTGGCTAAGATTTTGAAGCAATGGTTGTGGTCCTTCGAGATCTAAGTTCAGTGGCAACGGCTTACCAGTAGACACTGGCACTAACGTAAAGGTCACAGTAAAGGTCTATGCAAAGGGTATGGGTGTGGGGGAGGCATCCTCTACACCTGGAGTGAGTCACGGAGGGCTTCAGGGAGGAGGTAACTTTGGAGGTGCATCTTAATGTTAAGACAAGAGTTTTCTAGGCAGAGAGAGGCAGGAAGTTTAGTCGGGAGCAGAATTGCAGGGCTTGGCATTTCATGGGCCCAGAGCAGGGCTTAGGAAGGGTTGAATGTGGGTAGGGGCGCCCTGGGGCAGAGCTGGGGAGAAGAAATGAATGTTTGGCTGAGGAGGCAGTGAGTACCATCTTGTGGTTGGGGGCACTCATTGAAGAACTCTAAGCTGAGGAGTTTTGTGATGCCACATGTGTTAGAAAGACACTCTTGGTGCGGTGTGGAGGCTGCATCACAGAGGGAGGTGGGGGGTACAGGGCAGGAGGGGAGGCTGGAGGTGGCAGCGACTGTCCTAGTGGGAGATGGGGACCTGGGTAAGGCAAAGGGAGGTGCCGGGGAAGGTCTGTCTCCTGCATGATACAGTGCCAGAGAGTGTCACCTTGAGAATATTACACCTCACAGATGCCATTTATGGTAGAAAGGTCTCTGATGGGCTAGGCCACTGGTCTTTGAACATTTTTAGGTTGGTGCACCTGAGAGCAGCTATTTTAGAGTTACACTACCTCCTTGTACATTTTTTGGTTGTCATCTAAACTGGCCAGTGGAATCTCAATATTTAGTGGTTTGATTCTCAAGAGTATTCATTAAAATATACATATATATATATGTATGGGCAAACTGCCTTTTAATGGTCAGAAATTTTATTTTTCTTTTTCCCCTTCAACTTATATTTCCATTCCACTTCCTTGACAGCATTTTATTTTAGTGTTATATATTTCATGCTTGAAAATCTTTCCTTGGCACACCTGGGTGGCTTAGATGGTTAAGCGTCTGCCTTCAGCTCAGGTCATGATCTCAGGGTCCTGGGATTGGAGCCCCGCAGTGGGCTCCCTGCTCGGTGAGGAGTCTGCTTCTCCCTCTCCCACTCCCACTGCTTGTGCGCTCTTGCTCTCTCTGTCAAATAAGTAAATAAAATCTTAAAAAAAAAAGAAAATTTTTCCTTGATCACTCTGTCATAGTTATCTGAAACTACAATTATATATAAATTGAAAGGTATACACATTTTTCAAGTTTACTGTGACCATAAGAGTCTACATGTTAGGAGATATTTTCTAGGTTGAGTTTTTAATAGTACACAGTTTATCAAAGCAACACAAGTATTATAAATTTTGAAAAATAGTTAATAAACATAAAGAGAAAACATTGTTGAAAATGAATCTCTTAATGAGATGCCTGGGCGATCCTCCCCCCACCATTTATTCCCATGTCCCTGAATGACTGTCACCTGTGGCCAGAAAAGCTGGTGCTCAGCACTGATTCTTCTCTGGAAAACCTTATTTAAGTCAAATAAAAAGCTGGGGATGAAAGGAATTTGGTGAACGCACTGTCACTCAAACCTTCCTTCTGAGGCACATGATTAAAGCACAGGAATCTCACATTATGATGACTCGAATCATCTGTCTCTTGGCCACTTAATTAGGTTGGGCAGTTCTGTGTATAGAGTGAGGAATGGGAACCCATCTGACCTGTAGGGGGCTCATTCACTCACTCCGCTTTAGAGGCTTTATTTTCTCAGCACAGACCCCAGGGCTTTGAATGGAGCTTTTGTTTTCCACTCGGGAGAGGTTTAGCCCCCAGTGGCAATGCGCCTTAGAGAGGTGAGTGAGCCTTTCTCTGTGAAGTTCGAGAAGGGCCTTTGCGGAGGGGGCTGGGATTCCAGTTCCCTTCCCTGACGCAGCCATTTTAGCAAAGAGGACCTATGGAAGTAGAGGGTCTGGAAAGCAATTCTCTCTCTCTCTCTCTTTTTCATTCTTTTATTTATTTATTGGCACAAAATTTCTTATTTTATTACCTTTTTTAAAAATTTAATTTAATTTTATTATGTTATGTGTCACCATACATCATTAGTTTTTGATGTAGTGTTCCATGATTCATTGTTTGCGTATAAGACCCAGTGCTCCATGCAGTACATGCCCTCCTTAATACCTACCCATCACTGGGCTAACCCATCCCCCACCCTCCTCCCCTCTAAAACCCTCAGTTTGTTTCTCAGAGTCCATAGTCTCTCATGGTTCGTCTCCCGCTCCGATTTCCCCCTCTTCATTTTTCCCTTCCTTCTCCTAATGTCCTCCATGGTATTCCTCATGTTCCACAAATAAGTGAAACCGTATGATAATTGACTTTCTCGGCTTGAGTTATTTCACTTAGCATAATCTCCTCCAGTCCCATCCATGTCGATGTAAAAGTTTCTCTTGAAAGTATCCATTCTTGTGTACTTTGGGTTCCACGAACTTGGTTTGGAGAGGGCTAACTTGGCCTTGGCCCAGCAGACCTTTTTTCTCAACATCTCGTTAAAGATAGTGATGGCCAGCCAACAAATGGTTGACAGAAGCTGCTAGCGGTTCTGGGCACACTTGATACTTTCTTTTATGAGTTTTTAGTTTGTTTTCCTTCCACTAGTTCTGAAACATATTCTTTTTTTTCTTTTTTTAAGATTTATTTATTTATTTGAGAGAGAGAGAGAGAGAGAGAGAGAGAGAGCGAGTGCCTGGGTTGGGGGGAGGGGCAGAGGGAGAGAGAGAGAATCTCAAGCTGACTCCGCGCTGAGAGCCTGCTGTGGGGCTCAATCTCACGACCCCGAAGCCCCTCTTTCGACTGTTTTGGGGAAGTCCCCCATCCCCACCTCCCTCCCATTTCTCTTCTAAATGTTGTCTCCAGGTTTTTTTTGTTGGACCAATTTCACATCACCATTTTATTTTTTTTTTCCCAGATTATTAACAGAGTATTCTAGGAGCTCTTTTTCTTTCTGTGTCTGAGAGATTTGGGCCATGCTTACAATGTTTTTATTAGTTCCAGGACACCATTTTTCCCTTGTAGAAATAGTCTCTTCTTTTTAAAAATGCAAGCTAATGGAAGCATGATTCATTTGCATTCCGAGAAAGCAACTCTTCTTTTTAAATTTATTTAAACTTTTTATTGAAGTATAAGTGACATACAATATTATATTAGTTTCAGATGTACAACATAATGACTTGATATTTGTATATATTGAGAAACAATCACCACAATAAGTCTGGTTAACATCTGTCAGTGTATATAGTTACACATTTTTTTCTTGTGATGAGAACTTTTAAGATTTACTCTCTTAGCAACTTTCAAATATGCAGTACGGTGTTATTAACTACAGCCGCCATGGTGTACATTGTATCCCTATGATGTATTTATTTTATAACTAGAAGCTTGTATGTTTTGACTCTCTCCACCCATCTTGCCCACCCCCACTCCCTGCCTCTGCTAACAACCAATCTGTTCTCTGTATCTATGAGCTTGTTTTTTGTTTGTTTCAGATTCCACATACAAGTGAACTCATATGGCGTCTCTGTCTGACTTATTTCATTTAGCATAATGCCCTCAGGGTCCATCGATGTTGTCACAAATGGCAAGATTTCATTTATTTTATTTATTCATTCATTTTAGAGAGAGAGAGAGTGCATGCAGGAGAAGGAGCAGAGGAGGAGGGAGAGACCCTCTAGCAGAGAGATGCAGGGCTCCGTCTCATGACACTGAGATCATGACCTGAGCCGAAACCAAGAGTCAGACGCTTAACCAACTATGCCACCCAAGTGCCCCAATATTTCATTCTTTTTCATGGCTGAACGTATACATATATATATGTATATGTGTTTGTCATATCTTCTTTGTCCATTCATCCATTGATGGATACTTAGATTGTTTAAAATACTCCATCACTTTTAGATCAGCCTGTGGGTACAACAGCCTTCCTTTCTCTGGTGAATGAAGCACAGTATTTGCTGATAAACAGATCCAGTGTTTTGGAGCTCCAGCAGCAATTAAATGCCAGGTAAGATCCTTTGCCTTGGGAATAGCAGACAGGTATAACCACTTGACTCTGGCAGTGAGCCATGGAGTCCATGGAGTAGACTGGGGAGTCACGGAGTCCAGATGAGAGACTGAGGCCCTGGGAAGTTACAAAGCCCTTAGGTCCAGTTCCCACGTCTCTCTTGATGCCTTCATGATGCTTAGGCAACCCCAACTCTCATTTTTAAATCATTCTATTTTTAACATTTGCTTTAATTGAATTGAACTTGACCCGGTTTTGTTGCCCACCCTCCCACCACCCCCTGTCCCCTAGGAACCTTGCCTACTTGCACAGTCAATTTTGAGTGAAAAGAAGAATGGTTATGAAAGCTTTTAGAGTTGTAGCTACAGATACTGTTTGTTTGTATCATCAGACAGAACTGGTACTGCTGCTTGCCTGTTCCCACCCAGTGTTTTGTAAGGGCCCTGACATATTAGCAGGTCAGCTTTAGAAAGGATTCGCTCAACCCCCTTCATTGTTCTTTAGAGGAAATTGAAGTACCAAGGTAATCAGACCATCAGGGCAAAGAAAAGTCACCCCGTTTTTACATGAGAACTGGGACTGGCTACTCATCCCTAGTCCACAGGCCAGGAGGGGGTGCACGTGCCTGTCACCATGAGCCGGGGATCCTATGACTCTCACATGCCATGTGGTACTGGGTATGAGTATGTGTGCATACTTACAAACATCTACAAATATAGCTTAATAAAAGTGACAAAGATGGACTGTTTGTAGTAATTCCTGTTTATAGTCATTGGCAAAACCACGCAACAGAGTTCCCTGGCCATGGCCCAGCTCGTCCTCCTTGGTACATAAGTTCGATGCAGCTGCAGGGTCCCTGGGTGTTCACTGAGCTGTCAAGGCACCGTGACACTCCTCCTCAGGTCCCCAGAGCCCTGGAGAGAGCAGGGCAGTGGTCGTCTGGGATTCTTGGTGTGCAAAACTAGGAGGTGGAGACAGGCTTGCTGCAGTCCTGGTTCCTACCAGTAGGGGACCATGGTTCCTACCAGCTGGTTGAAGGCAGGGCTGAGGAGCAGGGAGGAGATGGGACAGGGGTACGAGGACCAGCCTGGGCCTAGTGCCCGGGAGGGTCGCTGGGGGCTCTGGTTGGTCTGTCTCTGTTCTACTTTCAAATTTGATGGACTCAATAATGCATATGCTGATCACGATAGCTTTTGAACGTAAAATTTTTCTTTTTACACAGCACAAAAGAAGGGTTTGTAACCTCGAAGGTAATCCAGAATCAAAGGATTTTAGGACTGGGAAATGCCAGCCCTTGCGTTTCAGATGAGGAAATCGTCATTCTCGTCGGTCATGGGAGTTGCACATAGTGGCAAAGCTAGACATGGTTCTCCCTGCTCCTGGCTTTTTTTTTGCTCCTGGCTTTTCACACACCATTCCCTGCTTGGAAGGGGATGGGGATATAGCCTTAGCCTCCACCAGAGCCTTACAGGTCTATTTCCAGGGAAAATTCCAATCATACTTAAGAATCTCCCCTCCAACTTAAAAATTTTTTCTTGTTGAAGCACAAGAAAGCACAAAAATCATAAGTCCGTAGCTCAGTGAATTTTTACAAATGTATATGCCCATGTAACCACCCCCCAGATCAAGTAGAGAACATTTCTAGTAAACCAGAAACCTTCCTCATATCCCCTCTTAGTCAGCCCTACCGACGGTCACCACTATCCTGGCTTCGTTCACCATACATAGTTTCACCTGTTCTTGAATGCTGTATAATGAGATCATACAGTGGGTTCTTTTGTTTAAGTTTTCAGACGCTTTATTTCAGTGCTTTTTCCCTTGGGGGCGCGGGGGTGGATGGAGGTGCAGAGAGTCATTTTATAAGGCCTCATGGCAGTAAACAAAAATCGTCAACAAGAATTCTAAAAATGGTGTATGTTAGTTAAAACTGCAAACAGGATGGAAGTTAGGAAGCAAATTTGTTTTTACTGAGATATAAATGACATACAATATGATATTAGTTTCAGATGTACAATATAATGATTCAATATTTATATACATTGAGAAACAATCACCACAATAAGTTTGGTTAACATCTGTCACCATACATAGTTAACATTATTTTTCTTGTGATGAGAGCTTTTAAGATTTTCTCTTAGCAACTTTCAAATATGCAGTACGGTGTTATTAACCATAGCCATCACGCTGTACATGACATCCCCGTGACGTATGTGTTTTTTTTAAATTTTTTTTAAAGGTTTTATTTATTTATTTGAGAGAGAGAGAGAGAAACAGCATGAGAGGGGAGAGGGTCAGAGGGAGAATCAGGCTCCCCGCTGAGCCGGGAGGCCGATGTGGTTCTCGATCCCAGGACTCTGGGATCATGACCTGAGCCAAAGGCAGTCTCTTTAACCAACAGCCACCCAGGCGCCCCGTGACGTATGTGTTTTATAACTGGAAGCTTGTATCTTTTGACTCCCTTCACCCCTTTTGCCTGCTCCGACCCCCGCCTCTGGTAACCATCAGTCTGTCCTCTGTGGGGAATAAATACTAAAACCTCCCATATGTACTCATTGGTGCTTTATGATGTTCTAATATCCAAAAAGAGTATGAGCTCTTGGAACATTTTAGGTCCTTGGTAAGTAAGCCTGTTGTTGCTCCTTAAATGCCTCGTCTGGACTCACCCTGTAGAACTGGTATTTTTGTAGAAGTTGGTTCACTTGACCACTGTTCACTTGGTTTCCAGAGTCCTTCGTCTCTTCAGCTAAGATCTACTCACCCTTTGCACCGCTTCTAGGAGGTGGGACTATCTCCCAGGGGACACCATTGAGGTCTGTTTAACAGCTGGGTGTCTGCTGGCCTTCCACTAGTGGTAGAAGCTTGTTCTAATCATCTAGGCCTCTGACCAGAGGACGACAGTTGGTGAAGTCAGGCATCGAGTGCTAGAAATGTTGAACAATTACAACAGTGCAATTATCCACTCCTCCCCCCTTCCCCCCTTTTTGGTATGTCTTAAACAGTGATGAGCATGGAAAGGAAGAATTATTCCCAATGAAAGACCTCATCTCACGGTTCCGTGCCAATATTATTACCAATGGAACAAGGGCTTTTGAAGAAGAGAAGTGGGATGGGGTTTCAATTGGTTCCTTGCGTTTCCAGGTGAGTTGGGGGAAGTTCAGTTCCTTCCTCAAGGGTTGCAAATGGAAACTGGCCTCTATTTGAGGCCCGGAGGGTGGCAGGCGGGAATCCCTCTCTGTCTTTGACTCTGCCCCGCAAATCCTCAGCGGGAGGGTTTGTGACATCTGCAGTCTGGGCCTCCCTTTGGAAGGACCGATCGCTTATTCGCTATGAGGGTGGCAGCAGTCCGTTTCCCATGGGGCAGAGAGAACGTGCCCTGTGCCAGGGCTCGCGGGCTTAGTGCACCTCCGCCTCATCATTATGTTTAGGCTTAAACTCTGTTTCCTTAGAATGCTGTGTCTGTGAGAACTTTATCCTGTTGGAACCCACTGGACTTTCCTGGTGCTTGTGGAGGAGGACCCAGACACCTAGCGGTCCCTCAGTGCCCGTGGCCACTCCACCTTCTTCCCTCACTCTGCCTTCTGGCCTCACCGGCCCTTGTAGAGGAGCTTGTCGTCAGAGGCAAATTTCTTTTGTCCATTTAACTCCCCAAGCTTCCTCTTATCCTGACAGCTGCTTCCCCTTGAAGAAAGCAAATCTCTTCTCTCTGTGACATTCGCTCCCACAGACCTCTCTCTGGCACCAGCCTTCCCGCCGCGCCCCCATCTCTGCCTCCTGACCCCTTCTTCTTCTTATTTCCTGTTGCTCTGTCCCTGCCATGTCTTTAAAACACTTGCTCTGACGTATCCTGCCTGATACCGAACAGGCATTGATCTATATTGTTTGATAAATGGAGAGGAGGGAGAAATAAATGAAGAAAAGAGGAAAGTGAAAGAACTTGAGCTAGCTTATTGTCACAGTCAGAATGAGTCCTGGCAACATTAGCACTGTGGCCCTTCTGGTACCCGGGGACATAAATACAGGAAAGAGTCTTTGAGAAACTTTTCTGAGATGCTTTGCTTTCTTTAGGTCACTGTTCTTAATAAACATTCACTAATAAAAGTGAAAATATGCCTTCCCTTTGGCCCAATACTTTCACTGGTAGAAATCTATTCCATAAAATACAGTCATACAAGCGTGCAGAGCTATGTTACAGACTTGACTTATTGGGATGCCTGGATGGTTCAGTTGGTTCAGCGTCTGTCTTCGGCCCAGGTCATGGTCCCGGGGTCCTGGGATCAAGCCCCGTGTCAGGCTCTCTGCTCAGCGGGGGTCTGCTTCTCTTTCTTCCTCTGTCCCTCTCCCCCCGCTAGTGCTCTCAAGTAAATAAAAATCTTTTTTAAAAAACTTATTATAGTGCTTTTATAAATATGAAAACTTGGAGGACATCCTACATATCCACAAAAGGGAGATTGGTTCAATAAATTATGCTATATTCATACAATGTAGTCCTGTTCAGGCACTAAAAAGTATAAACTGTAGTTAGTACTGTGCCTTTCAAAAACGAACTGCTTAAAAGACGTTTGCTGATGCCAATACTCAGGCTGAGGCTGTTGCAATGCAAAAAGATTTAGCACATCTCTTGGGAAAGTGATTTTTTCACTGGGGATCATTAAGTCATAAAAACTTTGATACCTGTTGCCTTTAGAATCTCATTTACAGAGATCGTCGCTAAGAAATGTTAAATGGCAAAGAGGGTTATGTGGATTAAGACCTTTATTACAAAATCATTGATAACAGCAAAGAATTAGAAACTGTTTACATGGCTTTGTAGAACAGGGAAGAACATCAGCCCCCAGGAATGCCAGGCCATTGTGAACATTGCAAAGCCCAAGGATGGCGTGGTCTCTGAGTACAGACATGGAAGGGCATCCAATATGTATTGTGGAGTAATGCCCACAGGGAGGAAGCACAGTGGCCTCTGAGAACCCAGGGAGTGTGCTGCACAGGTGCACGGCTCATCGTGTCCTGCTGCGAGCTTCAGTCCCGAGCCACCTACAGCTTCTTAGCCCCCCTTGCCTCTGAAGACAGAGAGAGAGGCACCTGCTGAGCGCTTTCTCTCTTAATTCTTTTTTCGTTTTAAGATTTTATTTATTTATTTGAAAGAGAGAGCACAAGCAGGGGGAGCAGCAGAGGGAGAGGGAAAAGCAGGCTCCCCACTGAGCAAGGAACACGATGCGGGGCTTGATCCCAGGACCCAGAGATCATGACCTGAGCCACCCAAGCACCCCTCTTTTAATTCTTAAAGCTTCTGTATTGTTTGAGTTATTTTTTAAAGAGCATGTATGCTTGTAAACAATTTTTAAAAATCCCAATGAATAAGAGTACTAGAAAAAAAGCTTAAAAATGACAATGTTTTAAGAAAATTGATTTCTTTGTCTTGGTGTTTGAAAAAAGTGCCTGGAAAATATCTTTCTTTCTGCCAGCTTGAGAAACTGTTTTAAGAGAGTCTTTTCACCAAAATGACAGGATTTTTACTTGAAGTGTTATCTGTTGGATGGCAGCTGGGGCCCCCGGGTCTGGGGCTGGTGGGACATCCCTTCCGTGGGACATCTCTTCTGAGGGTCATGGCCCTGCAGACTCAGAGGGAGCCCAGCCTGGGAATCACAATGTTCTAGGCAGAGAAGGTAGAATGTTCTGTACTTGATCCTTAATGTTCTGATCTTGTGGAAGTCTTGTTCCATCTGGGGGATTCTCGTGTATAATCATGATAGCTTCCACTTTTGAGCATGACTCAGTGCCAGGTCTGGGCTTTGCATCCTAGAAATAGTATCTGGAATCCTCACTGAATCAAGCTAAGGGGCTGGATGATGAAATGAGGCTTCGAGAGGTGGTAGGTCTGCCCGGGATCGAGGCCAGGGCTGAGCAGAGCCTCGTACAGCACCCTCCAGCCGCTTCTGGAGGGCCTACACAACTTGACTTTGGTACCACAGTGAGGTTATATTTCCCCTTTAGTGGCCGCCAGCCAGAAGGAGAGTGATACAAACAGGTCAAGACACATCCACATGTAGTTGTTCCTGGTTTCAGTGCATACTTTGTGTTTGCCCATGAGTGAGCAGAGGAGCACCTGTGCCCTTTTTATATGTGCAAAAAAAAGAAGCATCTTGTCACTGCTGAGTGCATACTTCCTTTTTTTGTGTTAACATTTATGGGAGATTTTCTCACTATAAAGCAATTCACGCTCATGGCAGACCAACCAGAATAGAAGTTCTACCATATGGTATGACCCCTCTTAAGATGCTGGGTATGCATATATACATATATAAGAATACACATGTAATTTTGTTTTCTGCTTGTTTCAATTATAAACATAAATATTACCCCTTTTATTTAAAGCCCTTTATAGATTAATTTTAATACCTGTATGATATATACATGAAGTGTGGCCATTCTTCTCTACTGTTTGATGTTTATGATAGTCCCAGATTTCCCCCACTACAAATAATGTGAGAAAGATCCTTGTACATGAATCTGTGTTTGTACTTGTGGTTCTTCTCTTTTCTTCTCTTCTTCTCTTCTCTTCTCTTCTCCTCTTCCCTTCCCTTCCCTTCCCTTCTCTTCCCTTCTCAAGATTTATTTAGGGACACCTTAGTAGCTCAGTCGGTTAAGTGTCTGCATTTGGCTTGGGTCATGGTCCCAGGGTCCTGGGATCGAGCCCTACGTCGGGCTCCCTGCTTGGCAGGGAAGTCTGCTTCTCCGTCTCCATCTGCCTATCACTCTCCTTATGCTCTCTCTCGCTCTCAAATAAATAAATAAAATCTTAAAAAATTTATTTATTTATTTGAGAGAGGGCACATGCATGAGCAGGAGGGGCAGAGGGAGAGGGAGACAGTTTCAAGCAGATTCGGAGCTGAGCATGGAGCCCCACACGGGGCTTGATCTCATAACCCTGAGATCACGACCTGAGCTGAAACCAAGAATCAGATGCTTAACTCACTGCACCACCCAGGTGCCCCAGTTGTGGTTCTTTTCTCAGGTGAAATTCCTAGTAGTGAAATTTCTGGGTCAAAGGACATGGACACAGTAAGGTTCTTACCGATAATGACTTAGTATGGGGGCCGTGGTTGTTTTCTCCCAGTTTACCCTCCAATCAGTTAGTTCTTTTCTTCCTGGGAGGATCCAGGAAGAAACCCGAGATAATCATCCGAGATCCACAACCACTCTTTTTTTTCTCACGAAGCCCTGAAGCAGCAGTCTTTCAGCTGATGAGCAAATATGGATGATTCCCCAGGACTGTGTGAGGAGGTGCCACGTTCTGGCTCCTTGAAGTTAAGAGTACTGAGCTCCCGTGTTAGTGGGGCTGGAGACCGCCTCTTACAACCAATCCTCCCAGATCCAGCTTCCTCCCTGCCCAGCAGGAGGGTCCGGTCACGTTCATGACAACTCTGTCTTTTCCTTTCTCACCTGCCAGGTTTCAGGGCCTTGTCACAGATGCCAGATGATTTGCATTGATCAGCAAACTGGGCAGCGAAACCAAAATGTTTTCCAAAAGCTTTCTGAGAGTCGCGAGAGAAAGGTAAGCATGATTACAAACTATGACACCTCTTGTGAGATCCTGGCTCATTATCCACACCAGAACTGTAGTTCTGAGTAATAGCGCTGAGTACGTTTTAGAAGTAGGGAGACGTTCTACGGCTGAGGGGCTACCCTTAAGGTTCCGACTTCATCCACGGAGCCATCTTATTTTTCCTTTTCCTCCATTTCCTTACTTTTGGGGGTCTTATTATGTGTATTTTTGGTACTCTCAAATTTCAGTGGAGAGATATGGGGTATAAATAAGAAATGAGTAAATAAGCAAAGTAAATTTATTGTCTTGAACATTATTTTCTTCACCACGGATGTCTCATGAGAGTAAAATGTCCCCTGGGGAGTAGAGTAGCTGCATAGACAGGTTCAGTAAATTTCACTCTCAGAAGCTTGTAAGTCATCTTCTTGAGGGTTCATATGACCAGATGTTTTCGTGGATGCCAGATGATGGAAACTGAACTTCTAACAGACTGATGCTTTAGGAAGATCTATGTCCAGGCTAGTACTTTCTGTTTTTTTTTTTTTTTTGCCAAGAATTCTAGGAAGCCAGGTAAGCAGTCAGGCTGCATGGAGCATTTCTTGAACATTAACTGAAATAACGTAAATATCTAATCTCTCTCCAGTAATAAATTAGAAGGCTAACTCATGGTAAAGTGTTCTGCATTGTTTTCTGTGTCTCTCCAAAACCGGGGTTTGTTTCACGGTATGGAATTGCCACAGTCTCCCTACAGATACGGGATGGATATGGTCTGCACGTGAGTGTTTGACCAACATGTCTGTCTGCTCCACGGAGGCAGGCCATGTCACCTGGGGGTGTGGGGACCTTGAGCCTGTACCATGCAGGGTGCCCAGGGAGGGGATGGGTGGGCACAAATACTATGGGGCATGCAAGGAAATAGTACTTCTTAGAATCACTGTAGTTCTCATGTGCACACATCTTTTTTTCTAAAATAATTTTTGGAATATTTTTAGATTTACAGATAAATTGCAAAGAGAGTACAGAGAGTTCCTGTGTACCCTTCACCCACAAGTGCACAGATCTTCAGAAATTAATTTGGCCTCAGCCCCTGGCGTGGGGCCTGGAATATGGGGGTGTCCACTGATGTTATCACAGCAGTGGCCAGGTCTGGGAGCACATCGCATGCTCCAAAGGGTTCTTATTGGCTCACTTGCATTGATAGCAAACTTTGAGTAGACTCACACAACTCTATTTTGGAACTTCCATCTTTATTCTAGAGAGTTTGGAGAACATAACCTACACCACATTAAAAAAAAAATCACATCAAAGAAAATGCAGGATTTTGCTGTTATTTTCGCAAAATAGTTTTTACATCAGAGGACAGAGCAGAAATTGGCCTGGATGTGGTCAGAAGCAGAGAGCAGGATGCAGGCCCTACTACCAGAAGCTCAGGGTACACAGGAAGGAGAAAAAAGAATGGGTCCAGCCATTGACAGGTGTGGGGAGACTGTCGGGAAAGGATAATATGTGTGTGTGTGTTTGTGTATTTGTTTATTTTTAAGAGAGAGAGAGCATGTGTGTGGGTGCCTGTGAAAGTGGTGGTGGTGGGGATATTGGGAGGAACAGAAGGAGAGGGAGAGAGAGAATCCCAAGCAGGGTGCACACTCAGCGTGGAGCCCTGCACAGAGCTTGATCTCACCATCATGACCTGAGCTGAGATCAAGGGTTGGACGTTTAACCGACTGAGCCACCCAGGCACCCTGAGAAAGGACATTTTATTTTATTATTATTTTTAAAGATTTTATTTGTTTATTTGACACAGAGAGGGAGAGCACAAGCAGGGGGAGTGGGAGAAGGAGGGGCAGGCTCCCCGCGGAGCAGGGAGCCCGATGGGGGGCGCTCGATCCCAGGACCCTGGGATCATGACCTGAGCTGAAGGCAGATGCTTAAGCGACTGAGCCACCCAGGCACCCTGGGAAGGGACATTTTAAATGAAAATCTTTGGTGTCTGAAAGTGGGATTCCCGTTTCCTACTACATTCTAGGATGTGTCTTTAAAGATTTGACTTGATTTTAGTTGAACATTATTATTTACAAAATTATGTCAACTGCTAAAATAATCTAGCTTGTTGCTGCTGTCTTGTTCACAGGTGAACTTTGGAGTGTACCTGATGCATATGTCTCTGGACTTATCTTCCCCACGTTTCCTGTCTGTAGGATCTCAGGTGCTCCCTGTGTTGAAAGAAAATGCAGAGCGCCATGATTTACCTGCTTCTGACTAACATCAGGATGTTACCTCCTAAAATGTTTTTTCAGCATAAACTAGAATTCCTCTTTTACAACTCTGTCTGCTTTTATTCAGATTGTCACATGGCTCAGTAGAATTCCATCTTTTGAACAAGGAGAGTTTTCTCGGAGGTAGAGGGAGCTCTTGTTGGCTTCCTCTAACGCCTGGTCTCTGCGCATGCGCTGCCGAGCTCAGGGGGCCGGTTCTGAGGCCTCTGTGTTTCCATGAGGTAAACGCAGCTCAAGAGCTGTGACGTGCCCAGCAGCGTTCCCCTAGGTGTTCGGAGCAGGATAACTTTAATTCGATGAGGGTTTGTCTGTCTGTCTTTTTCTTTCTTTCTTTCTTTCTTTCTTTCTTTCTTTCTTTCTTTCTTTCTTTCTTTCTTTCTTTTCTTTCTTTTCTTTCTTTTCTTTCTTTTCTTTCTTTTCTTTCTTTCTTTCTTTCTTTCTTTCTTTCTTTCTTTTTCTTTTTCTTTCTTTCTTTCTTTCTTTTTCTTTCTTTCTTTCTTTCTTTCTTTCTTTCTTTCTTTCTTTCTTTCTTTCTTTCTTTCTTTCTTTCTTTCTCTTTCTTTCCTTCCTTC